CCACCTGTCAGTGCTGCCCAGCAGTGCCACCTGTCAGTGCTGCCCAGCAGTGCCACATGTCAGTGCCCAGCAGTATCGCCCATCAGTGCCACCCATCAATGATGCCCAGCAGTGCCATCCATCAGTGCCCAGCAGTGTCACCCATCAGTGCCCAGCAGTGTCGCCTGTCAGTGCTGCCCAGCAGTGCCACCTGTCAGTGCCCAGCAGTGTCGCCCATCAGTGCTGCCCATCAGTGCCACCCATCAATGATGCCCAGTAGTGCCATCCATCAGTGCCCAGCAGTGTCACCCATCAGTGCCCAGCAGTGTCGCCTGTCAGTGCTGCCCAGCAGTGCCACCTGTCAGTGCCCATCAGTGTCGCCCATCAGTGCTGCCCATCAGTGCCACCCATCAATGATGCCCAGCAGTGTCCAGCAGTGTCCAGTGCCCAGCAGTGTCATCCATCAGTGCCCAGCAGTGTCACCCATCAGTGCCCAGCAGTGTCGCCTGTCAGTGCTGCCCAGCAGTGCCACCTGTCAGTGCCCATCAGTGTCGCCCATCAGTGCTGCCCATCAGTGCCACCCATCAATGATGCCCAGCAGTGCCACCGATCAGTGCCGTCTGTCAGTGCGTCCAGGTAGGCAAGTGGTTAATTGCAGTGTTGGCACTTTGAAATAAAAAAGTTGGTTTGTGTTGCAGTTTTGGGCACTCGGGCTCAAAAAGGTTTGCCATCACTGGCCTAGGCCATCTTTTTGTAAAGCAACAATTCTTTTTTTCAGATCCTCAGAGAGTTCTTTGCCATGAGGTGCCATGTTGAACTTCCAGTGACCAGTATGAGAGAGTGAGAGCGATAACACCAAATTTAACACACCTGCTCCCCATTCACACCTGAGACCTTGTAACACTAACGAGTCACATGACACCAGGGAGGGAAAATGGCTAATTGGGCCCAATTTGGACATTGTCACTTAGGGGTGTACTCACTTTTGTTGCCAAAGGTTTAGACATTAATGGCTGTGTGTTGAGTTATTTTGAGGGGACAACAAATTTACACTGTTATACAAGCTGTACACTCATGACTTTACATTGTAGCAAAGTGTCATTTCTTCAGTGTTGTCACATGAAAAGATAGAATAAAATATTTACAAAAATGTGAGGGTTGGACTCACTTTTGTGAGAGATACTGTATGTATGTTTGTGTGTGTGTGTGTGTGTGTGTGTGTGTGTGTGTGTATATATATATATATATATATATATGTGTGTGTGTGTTTAAAATTTGAGGGTTTGCTTGTATGCAACGTCGGGGGAGTTCTCATAATGAGATGATGGACGGTGTCCTAGGGTATTTCCTCCCAGATCTGGACCAGGGCATCACTGAGCTCCTGGATTGTCTGCGGTGCAACCTGGTGTTGTCGGATAGACCGAAACATGATGTCCCAGAGGTGTTCTATTGGATTTAAGTCAGGCGAGCGTGGGGACCATTCAATGGTATCAATTCCTTCATCCTCCTGGAACCGCCTGCATACTCTCGCCACATGAGGCTGGGCATTGTTGTGCACCAGGAGAAACCCAGGACCCACTGCACCAGTGTAGGGTCTGACAATTAGTCCAAGGATTTCATCCCGATACCTAATGGCAGTCACTGACCCTAGCCAAATGCAAAACTAGTGAAAAACAGTCAGAAAAGATGAGTAGGGAAAAAAATGTCAGTGGCCTCCACCTGTAAAACCATTCTTGTTTTGGGGTTCGTCTCATTGTTGCCCATCTAGTACACCTGTTGTTTAATTTCATTAACACCAAAGCAGCTGAAACTGATTAACAACCCCCTCTGCTACTTAACTGACCAGATCAATATCCCAGGAGTTTAATTGACTTGATGCTATACTCTGATTAAAAAGTGTTCCTTTAATTTTTTTGAGCTGATTGCTGACAAGTGTGTGCATATGCCAGATTCCCCAATGCATGGTGTCCACACGTGTGCAGGATCCACTGCACTGGCTCCCGAGATGTGTGACATAGACACCCAAGGGGGCAATGGTAGCTGGATATGGTGAGGATTGAGAAAATGAGGATGGGGGGGGGTTGCTTTTTTTTTTTTTTACACTGTAAGTGGAAGGGGGGGGGGGGGGGGGGGGGAGAGGCAGGTGAGAAAATCAAATTTAAATGGGTGAAGGTCTGTTTTAGGCCTCATGACATTTATTCTCAACTCCCCAAGAAGAAACCAGCAGTGCCAAAAAACACCTGACGCTTGTAAAAGTGTGTACCAAAAAAAGTGCGTCAAGTGTTTGGGTGTTAATTACATTTGCCAGAATAAATAAATTATTTTGGCCATTGAAATAAATTAACACTCAAGCGCTAAAGATGCCTAGTGTTTAGGCGCATTTACACGTGTTTAAGCACCTCAAGTGGTTTTTCAGCCAAAACGCCACTGCTCCAGGACACAATGGCAGTGTATTTTTTTTCCTGCTATTAAACTCTCCTACCAAAAAATGCTACTAAAAGCCTATGTGTGCATGGACACATAGGATAACATGCAGCGGAGTTTAGAGGCAGTTTAAAAAAAAAAAAAAAAGCTTGACGCCCCTAGCAGTAGCTTCAAGAACACCCAATGTGCATGAGGCCTAAAGGAGATTCCAGCTTTGGTAGATTTTCATGTTATTCAGCATAGCTGCTGCTGCTGCTGCTGACAGTGGCACATTAGTGATCTGTAGCTGCACAAGCAAGCATTGTAGAAGCTGCAAATGGGGAAAAAGAAAATAATCCGAGATTTGTAGCTGCTGCAGTTACTAGACTCCTTTGTGTCCTTTGTATTAGGAAATTGTTTTCACCTGTTCTAACTTCAAGCTTTCACTACATGGATTAAATTCTTAGCAAACAGCATAGTTCAATTTCTTAGCTTTCTTAAGAAGTTTTCTGGCATAAATCAATGTCACGCGAAATTACATTTTGTTTGTACGTTGCTTTTAATTAAAGGTCTCACTATGTATTCCATTATTGGATCTGGTGTTTTAGAAATATGAGAGAATTGGTCTGATCAAAGGATCCTAATACTTTTGCAATAACATGGCTTCCTGTGCAGGTTTTGGATGTACAACACATAGTAGATCTGTAGAGAGCATGATAAATTGGGTAACCTCCCTGGCAGTATTCCCGAGTGTAGTTCAGGGTAAAGTTTCAGTACACAGAAGCGGTAACCCCGAGCTACACTCGGGCTTACCATGCGGCGCTGCTCCGGGATCTGTTCTTCACTTACCTTGTCCTGCACTCCCGCGATGTCCCTCCTGCAGTGTCCCCGGCAATGTCCTCCAGCGGATGCCGGCATCTGTCATCTGGGTTCTGTCCCCTGCAAGCGTCGAGACGTACGGGGATGGAATGGCGGGAAATTTGAAAATGACAAAAAGTGGCATTCACTAAATTCACTAAAATCACATAGTAAAACATTGCTGTTTCAAACCATTTCACATACATTTTGTCCCGAGTGCTTTGTCCTGTGCCCTGCCTGCATTTTTACTGTTCTTTCTGCCTAGAAACTGAGAAATGTCCATGGCGTCCAAAAAGCGTCCCTTTGGTCAAAATCAGTTTTAGACCAGCTAGAGAACAGCGATAGTAAATTAGAACCACTTGCAGAATTGAGTGATGATTCGTGGTGGAAATTCGTCATCAGACACTGAAAACGGTTTTGTGACTTTGCTCAGTGATGTGCGAACTTGGCGCTCCTGTTTCAGATTTCAGTGTTTTTGGTTTGATTATATTATTGAATTAAATTTATTATTATATTATTTTTTATGATTATTTATTAAAATTATAATGTATGATTTCGTGTTTCAAATTGTATCATACCCGGGATGTTTACTAGACTCTTGTTCGGACAGATTTAAGTGAGTTATTCCTAAAAAATGACAGGCCTACAATAAAAAAATACATATTTACATGCAAAAAAAGTATGGACATAATCAGACCACTAGGGAAGTTAATCTAAATTTCTGAGAGCTTCACATCGTTTCTGTTTGTTGTTCGTGTCCGCTCCTGTGTCCGTTGTCCTTTCTAACCCTCCAGAGTGTCGTGCTATATTCCACCCTAATCCTTTACCACTAGATAGTGAAGATTAGCTTTCCTCTCGGCTGGCTGATATATGATGCAACTGAGAACAATTCAGGCCACGTAACAGGTGAAGAATTGGAGCAAAGATCAGCAAAGTTAATGTTTTCACTGTTTTAGGAATATTTCAGCTCTAGATCACTTACTGAGCGCTGGCTTCATAATAGGTGTAGCTTGCGTGTTGGTTGAAATGAATCCCTTACAGTAGAACTTTACACAGACACCGTCATATCCTGAGTGGGCAAGGTGACTGTCTTTTTGATGAAGTTTTTTTTTAGGCAATACATAACTGCATTTGCACTCAAAGCTGTTTCTTTAGGATCTGCCTAGACAGTTAGGCCTCATGCACTATGCGCGTTATTACAGCTGCCTGCTTTGGGTGGCAGACTTTTTTTTTTTACTGCCTTTAAACTCCCCTGCATGTTATCCTATGTGTTTGCGCACACAAAGGGCTTTTAGCAGCGTTTAGTGGCAGAAAAGTTTTTTTTGTCACTGGTGGTTAAGGAGAGGGCTGGGAAGCCAGCTGCTGCGCCCTTAACAATGAATAAGTCATCAGCTGTCAGCAGGATTCCCTGCTGACAACTGAATGTTAAAAAAAAACAAAACAATCATTAGCGGCATTAAAAAATGCAAAAAAACATGGCGTAGGGGTTCCCCTCCATCCATACCAGTCCCTCTGGTTCTGGTATGGATTTTAACCGCGTTATAGCCAAAAGATGGCTACAGTGCGGTTGTCCGGTTCTGGGAGGGCGTCCTCCCAGAACGTACCCCCTGCGCGCCCCCAGAGGCGAGCACCCGGCGCTGTCTGTGATCACTGTGTCCTACAGACACAGCTGATCACGTGATGAGGTAAAAAGCATATCACTGTGGCCTTTTACCATGTGATCAGCTGTGTCCAATGACACAGCAGATCACAATGTAAATACAGTTGCCGGTGATCAGCTGCACTTTCCTCACGCTGTCACATCGTGAGGAACGTACTGTTGATAACTGGCAAATGTGACAGGGGAGATCTGCACTAATAATCAGGGCTCTGATTATCAGTGCCGCCAGCAATGCTGCCCAGCAGTGCCGCCCGTCAGTGCTATTAGTGCCCATCAGTACTGTCTATCAGTGCTTCCTCATCAATGCCCACCAGTGCTGCCTCATCAGTGCTACCAATCACTGCCCATTAGTGCAGCCTCATCAATGCACATCAGTGAAGGAGAAAAATTACCTGTTTGCAAAATTTTATAGTAGAAACAAAGAAAACCTTTACAGTGCAAAAAATAAAAATCCCATTGGCAATTAAACACCACCAAAAGAAAGCTCTATTCCTGGACAGGAAGAGGGTAAAAGTGCCCATCGTGGGGTCCCGTCCATACAAGAGACCCTTATGCAAACATGCAGCCTGGCAGATCGCATCCCCCCCCCCCCCCCAAAACCATTCCAGGCCACATGCCCTCAACATGGGGGGGTGCTTTGGGGCAAGGGAGGTTCCCTCCAAAGCACCTTGTCCCCATATTGATGAGGACAAGGGCCTCTTCCCCACAACCCTGGCTGGTGGTTGTGGGGATCTGCAGATGGGAGCTTATCGGAATCTGGAAGCATCCTTTAACAAGCTTGCTCCTAGATCCTGCCCCCCCCCCCCCCCATGTGAATGAGTATGGGGTATATAGTAGATGGGATCAAACAGCCTTTCTGCACAATGCTGAGGATTAACCCCTTAAGTTCCACAGTGAGTATAACAAGCATGCTTTACTGCATATACAGACTGATTTTACAATTGTAGGTTTAGTAACACTTTAATGCCAAAGCTACTAAACGTAACTTACACCCTAGGCTGAACATTGCTGAACGCCGGCAAAAACCGCTAAAACATTTGTTTTTTTTGTCTGGCATTTCTAAAGCAGTTTTTAGCTATTGAAGTCGTCATCATGTTTATTTGTAAAATAAAGAATGTGTATAACAACTTAGCAAAATAAAACTTTAAACTTCTATAAATCTAGCTAAGTGTTTAACAATGATTTTAAATGTGACACCATTGACTTTACATAAACACTGCTTTGTATATGTTGTGGCTTCACTGTACGGCTTCAACAAGTAGTTAGAACATAGTTTACATTACAGCTACTAGCATTTTCTGTTACTAATCATGGCCAAGACATGTTTGCTTTCCCAGCCTGATATACTAGAAACGTATGACTGCTTTAATAAGTTATTTAAAGATGCTGTGCCTTAAAATAGCTTGCCTATTTGGTGTGTAGGCCTTCTACATGTCCTATGTGACTGTTGTTGACCGTGAACTTGATAATATACAGAAGGACATAGAGTAAAGGGATCAATAACCTGCAGTATGGCCAACTACTCTCATTCTGGCCTTTTCCACATGTTAGAACTAGATCAAATGTATACCTTTCACTAACTTGTGACTCAGTAAAATCCCCTCACTCCAATCAGGAAAACAAACATTATATTTTCCATCAGATGGGGAGGAGGGGGTGGTGCAATATTAACCAATTCAATACCGGGCAATTTTACACCTTCCTGCCCAGGCCAGTTTTCAGGTTTCACCGCTCTCACACTTTGAATGACAATTGCGCAGTCATACAACATTGTACACAAACTAAAATTTTATTTTCTTCACACAACTAGAGCTTTCTTTTGGTGGTATTTAATCACCGCTGGGGTTTTTTTTTTTGCTAAATTAACAAAAAAAGACCAAAAATTTTGAAAAAAAAAAGTTTTTCTTTGTTTCTGTTATAAAAGTTTGCAAATAAATAATTGTTCTTCATAAATTTAGGCCGAGATGTATTCTGCTACATGTCTTTGGTGAAAATAAACCCAAATTAGGATGTATTTTTTAGTTTGTAGGAAAGTTATAGAGTTCACAAACTGTGGTATAGATCTCTGAATATTGATCAATCCTGAAGTACTGACGGCAATCTAATATCTTGAGATCCAAGAATGTCAGAACAGTACAGATATCCCCAAATGACCCCTTTTTGCAAAGTAGACAGTCCGACATACTTCATAAGAGGCATTGCGAGTTTTTTGAAGTATTTTTTTTGTCATAATATTTCGGAAAATTAAAAAATTAAAAAAATTACTTTCACTATTTTTTTTTTACATATTGTCACCAGTGCAGTACAGCGTCATCATATAACTGGCATGGCGGTGATCAGGGACACTGAGTGGTGACAGTATGAAAAAATATATATATATTATTTTATTTTTTTTTATTTTTTTTTTAAATTTTTTTTTCTTTTTTTTTAAGATTTTTTTTTTCATATTTCACTATGACCAAAGTAGTACAATGTTACTATAGTAACATTGTACTACTTTGGGGAAGTGATCAGTTTTTTTTTTTTTTTTTTACACAATTTGCTTATAGCAAAGAATTACTTTGCTATAAGAAAGCATTTACCTGAATGACATCGATTCATTCAGGGATTTTTTTTTTTTTTTTTTGTGCTTAGCTGTGATCACATGCTGTGCATGTGATTGCTGTGACCATTCACAGCTAGACACTAGTATACAATGGATGGCATGAATGAAGCCATTCATTGTATACAACTGTCATGTGACCTGCTGTGATTGGTCACAGCAGGTCACATGGTACCGGCAACGGGGCCGATACTCAGATCTGTCATCGGCCGTGTCCGAGGTACACAGCCGGTGACAGATCGCTCCGCTCTGCAGGAGCGCAATCTGCGCATGTGCGGGAGGACGCCATGTGGCATCCACCCAGAACGCTGATGACATTTGCCACCCGCCATTCGGCCATAGGGCGGGCGGCAAATGGTTAATTTATCAGGAATACCCAGAGTTTTTCTTTATTTCAGTTACATTGTTTTAAAATGCAATGTACTATTTCACAATGTAATCTCTCTTTTTTTTTTTTTAACCAAGTACATTTTATACATGTTTAGTTGTTGCAGTTAGAGATTACAGCCAACCAGAAATCACCTTTCTGAAGTTTTGCCATTTTAACCTGTTGAAATCAGAATTCCGTTCTGTTGCCATGAGTGTTTTATTTTGTACTGGGCTGTTAAATGATCTACAAAAAGCTATTTATGTTAAATAAACACTCCAGTAAACTTGAAAATGGCACATTAACCTCTTGCCGACCGCGCAATCCGCGCATAGCCGAATGACGGCTTCACCGCGGCGGCCAGTTCTGAGTGGACGTCATATGACGTCCTCCCAGAACGCGCTCTCCTGCGCGCCCCAGGGGGGCGCGCACCCGGCGATCTCCGTGATCGCTGTGTCCTACGGACACAGCTGATCACGTGATGTGGTGAAAGGCCGATCCCATCGGCCTTTTACCACGTGATCAGCGGTGTTCCAATGACACGCTGATCACAGGGAAATGCTAGTGCCGGTTCTCGGCTGCACTTTCCTCACGCTGTCAGATCGTGAGGAAAGTACTGCCGAGAACCGGCAGTTGTCAGAGCGGGGATCGGCACCGATCATCAGGGCACTGATGATCAGTGCCCTGATGATCGGTGTCAGCAGTGACACCCGCAAGTTCCGCCCAGCAGTGCGCCCACTAGCCCCGCCCACCCGATCCCAGCAGTGCCCCCACCTGTGCCCAGCAGTGCCCCCACCTGTGCCCAGCAGTGCACCCACCTGTGCCACTCTGCAGTGCCACCTACCTGTGCCCAGAAGTGCCACCTACATGTGCCCAGCAGTGCCACCCCACCTGTGCCCACCAGTGCCACACCACCTGTGCCCACCAGTGCCACCCACCTGTGCCCACCCACCAGTGCTGCCCACCAGTGCCACCCACCAGTGCAGCCCAGCAGTGCTGCCAGTCAGTGCCACCAGTCAGGTGCCCAGGGGTTGTGCCAGTCAGTGCCGCCAGTCAGTGCCCAGAAGTGATGCCAGTCAGTGCCGTCTATCAGTACCCATCATCAGTGTCACCTATCAGTGCCGCCTATCAGTGCTGCATATCAGTGCCGCCTATCCGTGACCCCTAATTAGTGCTGTCTATCAGTGCCGCCTATCCGTGCCACCTCTCGTTAGTACTGCCTATTAGTGCCCATCAGTGCCGCCTATCAGTGCCCATCAGTGCCGCCTCATCAACGCAAATCAGTGAAGGAGAAAAAAAATACCTGTTTGAAAAATTTTATAAAAGAAACAAATAAACTTTTTTTTTTTTTTTCAAATTTTTTGCACAGGTTTTTAATTTATAGCGCAAAAAGTAAAGCGCCCAGTGGCGATTAAATACCACCAAAAGAAAGCTCTATTTGTGAGAAAAAAATGATCAAAATTTCATATGGGTACAATGTTGCATGACCGCGCAATTGTCAATCAAAGTGCGGCAGCGCTGAAAGCTGAAAATTGGCCTGGTAAGGAAGGGGGTATAAGTGCCTGGTAGGCAAGTGGTTAAGCACTTCCTGACCGCCCTCTAGCAGATATACTACTACAGGGCAGCACGGTTGTGCAAAATCACGTATATATACCTGATTTTGCATTTTCGAGTAGGGGACACACGTGTGCCCTACACGTGCTGCCAGCCGCGGCCGTTAATCACCGGGTCCCACTGGTGATTACTTGCCAGCACCCGGTGATTGCCGAGCATCTCCGATGGGGAGGAGAACTGTATTCAAACAATACAGTTCTCCGCCCTGTCAGCTCCTGCACACTACTTTGGATGGCTGTGCACAGCACAGTCATTCAAAGCAGTGTGATTACAGTGGAGCACACACACAGAGCTTACAGTGAAACAGCACACACTTAACCTTTGATCGCTCCTCATGTTAACCCCATCCTGCCCAGTGCCCTTAGTACAGTGTCAGTGCTTTTTTTTTTTTTTTTAGCACTGATCACTGTATTGGTGTCACTGAGGATGTCCGTGACACCAAGTCAGTTCTCTCCAGTGTCTGAATGCCCTCCGCAGTCTCACAGTCCCGCTATAAGTTGCTGATTGCTGCCATTACTAGTAAAAAAAAAAAAAAAAAAGTTCCATTATCTATATTACCATTTGTAAATGCTATAACTTTCACGTAAACCAATTAATTTACATATATTGGGATGGGACATGTAGCAGAATACATTTTGGCCTAAATTTATGAGGAAATTTGATTTTTCAAATTTTTTTACTAGACATGATTAATAGCAAAAAGCCACAAATGTTTTTCTTTTCCTCAAAATTATTACTTTTTTTATAGCGCAAAAAAAATAAAAATCGCATAGGCGATCAAATACCACCAAAAGAAAGCTCAATCCGTTGGAAAAAAGTTTGGTGCAGCATCGCATGAACGCACAATTGTCAGTTAAAGTAGCGCAGCGCCCCATAGCTGTCCCTTCGCTAAAACAGGAAGTGAGAAAATCTCTAGAAATTAAGGGAGTTCCTTGGGGACCCATTGGGAAATTTCCCTTCTGTTACTTTTCTGGGAACAACCAAAAATTTGGGGTTTCTTTTACTTTCACTTTTAATTTTATTGGTAAACCGGACAAATAGAGGGGGTGAATCTTCCAAACGGGGGGCACAGGCTGTAAAAAAACCCCATAAGGTGTTGTAATCCCTCTCCACTTCTGTCCAAAGTTTTCCCTTTAGTTATACTTTAACGCCATTCAAGCACTAGCCTTTGTCTGGTTCACACCTATGCATTCTTAGTGCTTTTTGCAGAAACGCTACAGTCCATGATTTACTATTTATTTACGTTTTCAGATGCTGCATTTTTGGTAATGGTCATTAACTTTTTTAATTGCAGATTAAACATGCATAGGTGTGAACCAGGATTAACCTACTTGGGTTTGCCCCTGCATTTTGGAGCATGAGATGTAGGTAGTACAGCTCAGAGTGTGTTGACAAAAGGTCAATGAATTTGGCTTCAAGGTGTTCTTATAAAATACATTTCTTTCTCATCCATTAAGGGACACACAGGGGTTTATTTACTAAAGCTGGAGAGTCCAAAATCAGACTCCCTTCTGCATAGAAACCAATCAGCTTCTAACCTCAGCTTGTTCAATGAAGCTTTGGCAATGAAACCTGGAAGCTGATTGGTTTCTATGCCTGAGTCTGATTTTGGACTCTCCAGCTTTAGTAAATAAACCCCACAGAGTCTTCTAACCTTCAAATTTTACTGGCATCTACAGGAGGGTTGACACTGTAAATATAAAAACTAATAATCCTTCATACTAAAAGCATGGCAGCACTATAGCAGTAGCATACATCAATCATCGGGGTGAACCAGAATTCTTGCTGTGGCTGTAGTACTTGATGTGGATCCTGTCCTGGGCAGCACTTCCTATTCCAGCCCTATCTGTGGTGTACATACTAGGCATAAACAACTGGGTAACAGATTTCCTCATCCAGCAATGCCTGGACCCAGAGAGTGGTCCCTACACCTGCAGGTTTTGGGTACCTGTGTTACCAGTGAAGGGCGCCATATGTGGATCACCTGGCCTTCCACAGCAAACTAGACATGTTTGTCTCCAGGTACAGGGATCCCCCAGGGGTAAGACTGGATTCTCTGGTGGCTCAGTACATCCTGATGTTTGTTTTTCCTTCCCTACTACTTTCATCTGCTTTGCAGGATTGGGAAGGAGGGCATTTCAGTGATCCTCATTGCTCCATTCAGACCAAGATGGATGTGGTAACACTACTGGCAGATGCTTTGTTGGCTTTGCTAGATGGTCATGTTGCAGATGCGCTCTCTGCTATATCTTTTAGTGCTTTTTGACATCAGAAAACTGTTTCCCAAATTTGTAACAATGCCACCTGTCTTCTATTATTATAAGGCAGGATTTATATAGCGCCAACACTTTACAATATAAAGGGAGACAGTACAGTTGCAGTTCAGTAAAATAGAAGAAGGTTAAGTGGGTCCTGCTCATAAGAACTTACAGTCTAGCAAGGTGGGGCAAGTGGTACAAAAGGTTATAAAAATGGGGGATGAGCTGATGGTAGTCTTAAATGTTTAATTGGAGACATAAATAGGCTTCCCTGAAGAGCTGAGTATTCAGGAATCACCAAAAGGCAGCCAGAGTAGGGGATAGCCGGATACATTGAGGTAAGGGAGAGAGAAGACAAGCGCCATCTGAGTGTAGTATGTTGAATAAGGCATTTAATAAAAGAAAATCAATACATTCACAGGGAAAGATAGAAGCAAGCATTTAGCACTCTATGTGTGGTAGCAACGCATTTGCGAAGCATGCATTACTTCTTCAGGCCGTAATGGCAATGTGTTGCCACACTCGTTCATCACATCTGGTCGTGGCGTCAGTTATGCCTGCTGCTGCGTTTCACACTGGAAAGGTGTCTCCAGAGCAGCCTGTCCTCAGGACTACAGCCTTTCTCCACCTGACGGACCAGGACTGACATTGATGGTGACCACACGTAGAGTACTTGCTTGCTTTTATCTTTTCTTGTGAGTGTATTGATTTTCTATAATTAAATGCATTATTCAACATACTACACTCAAACAGCATTGTCTTCTCTCCCCCTTGATTCCAGTTTTAGAGTTTTTTTAGAGTATTTACTAAATCTGGAGAGTGCCAAATTTGGTGCAGCTCTGCATAGAAACCAATCAGCTTAAACGTTTTATTGACAAAACTTAACGGAACAAGCTGAAGTTAGAAGCTGATTGGCTACCATGCACAGCTGCACCAGATTCTGAGTGCTCCAGTTTAAGTAAATCTACCCCCATGTCTCCTACACTGCCAGATAGAGCTGTGCAAACCTCAGGCCTGAATGGACAGAAATACAAATCCTTTGGCAAGTAGAACAGCTCCCATACACTGTATGTATTTACCTGTGTGTTTAGTTGTTAGCCAGGAGTTGAACTTTAACAGCTCTTTGATTGTGCTCGGTGTACATAAGTATTTGAACTTGGGAATCAACTGATCAGTTTTTGTATTAGTCAGATTTCATCATCATGTGTCTGAGCTGCAAGATTGCATCATTCTTACAGTTTGTTACTATGCATTGTGCTAACAGTGCCATTGTGTGTTCCTTTCCACAGGTCTTGGTGAACACAGTGTGCTGTTTCTTGATGCTTGTTGCAAAATTAATCCAGCATGTGGTTTTTGGTCCTTTGCGTGTTAGCGAGAGGCAGGTAAGTACAGTAAAGTTAAATCACTTACCCATCTAGTTTCCTGGATGTTGTAATACTCGTATACTAGAAAGGTCCCAGGCAGGGGCGGACTGACCATTTGGAAACTTGGGCACTGCCCGAGGGCCCGGGGTCAGTAGGGGGCCCCATGAGATGCCCCTGGTACCTTTTTTCATAGGCTTTTTTGAGTTTGGGCAAGGACACAGGGGCCCATGATCTCCTATTGCCCGGGGGCCCCATGAGTTGTCAGTCAGCCCCTGGTCCCAAGCCAAGTGCACTTGGTATCACTCCACCTGGGACAGGAGCCGACGCTACAGAAGAAGCATTGGCTTATGTTGCTCCCTCTACGGCTGCCTGCTTCCTCCACTGTTCGATGCAGTCTGATGCTTTGGGATGGCAGGTCGGCAAGCCCAAATCTCGATCAAAGGGTTGCCGAACCCGGGCATGTGCTTCCCTTGTTTGAGGTCATGGGCCATATGAGGCCTATGGGCCAGGGGTTGAGCACGCCTGTTTTCTATTCTACGATTCTTATTAAAAAAAACAAAAAAAAACTTTTTGGGAGATTCACTAAAACTGGTGCAGTTGTACATGGTAGCCAATCAACTTCTAGTTTCAGTTTATTCAATTAAGCTTTGAAAATAAAACCTGAAAGCTGATTGGTTTCTATGCAGAGCTGCACCAGATTTTGCACCATGCAGTTTTAGTAAATAACCCCTTTATATCATTGTACAATTTCCCCAAAAGGTACTTTATAGAGATTTGATCCTGTTCCCCACTCCATTGGAGTTCCACCCCTGTAGTAATTTTCCAATCAAGGTATATGCTCATTGTTCTTATCATCCCGAAACCCTCTATAACACCTACTTACTTGGATGATTATTGATGATTCATTTAAATATACTCGGAATCAGTCAGATAACTGCACCATTGGGAAAAAAAAAAAGTGCAAATTTGCTTTTTTTTTGTACATCAAAGTGCGTTTCTACCTCATTTAAAAGATAAGGTCACATTTCATAACATGTTACACCCATATTCAGGATGTAACATGTTATGAATGCAACACTAGCTGTCAAATTAAAAAAAAAAATTGTGAATGAGAAACTACAAGTCCCGACATCCTTAGCGGTTGTTGGCTTGTAATTCTCTATGAGCTACCATGGCACTGACAGATCTTCAGGAGACCTGCATGGCACCAGCGATCTGCACTGCACTGGTGCATAGTTTACAGGCTCCTGCAACAAAAAATAATAAATGCATTTTTTTTTACCTGCAAGTAATATGCATTTATTATTTTTTGTACAAAGGTGAATTTATCCTTTAATTTGTACAGACTGCCTTGATGCAGCACGCCTTAACATATGAAAAAGTGTTGCAGTAAAACAATGCATAGTGTGAATCTGGCTCAAGGAGCATTTATTAATTGTCCCTGCTGTCTTATGTCACTGATGCCAGAGCGTGGAGTCAGTCCCTAAGCCTGAATGCTGTCATGAGGGTATGAGGTGGAAGTTTCAACATGTTAGGCATGTGCAAAATGTTAGGACCCTTTATCAAACGTAGATTGTACTGGAAACTATATGATAAGAACAAAGCATTTGTAGAAATATATGGTTATTAAAAAGTTGCAACACAAATTGTGCAAAGTGGCACATAAATTAAATCTGACCAGATTAGTAACTCTAATATACATGTAATTGTTATACATCTTTGACCCTAGTATTGAATGTTTGTTCGATTTTTTTTTTTTTTTTTTCATTCTTTTCTTTGTAGCATTTAAAGGACAAGTTTTGGAACTTCATCTTTTACAAGTTTATATTCATCTTTGGAGTCCTAAATGTCCAGACTGTGGAAGAAGTGGTTCTTTGGTTTTTATGGTTCGCTGGTCTGGTCTTCCTCCATCTCATGGTTCAGCTGTGCAGAGACCGTTTTGAATATGTACGTGTAAACTAAACCTGTTCTTCCACCCTAACCAAAGTATATCTAACGCAGTTTTTTTTTTAGTAGTATTGAATAGAGTGAGAAAGTAATGTTTTTACTTCTGGCGATGTCCTTGTTGGGGGGAGATTTGCACTATCTATTTTGTCGCCACAGGACAGGAGAAGAAGGGAAATCTTCCAATGGGCACATCTGTTCTGGTGACAACTGTGTGAGGGGATTTCTCCTCACTTGGAAGGATTTCCTTTTCACACTCATTGGGAGTATATATATATAGATATATATAGATATATATATAGAGATATATAGAGATTATATATATATATAGAGAGAGAGAGATCTATATATATATATATATATATATATATATATATATTTTAACTGTATGTTGACAAAATTATTCTGCTGTATAGAAGTTGTCATTTGTAATCTTCCTTAGACCTTGTATCAATGGGCTTTTATTTGCTCCAAGCAGATTTTCCATTCCCATAAAAGTGTATGCGAATGCAAAATTCACTTAAAGGGTGACACCACTTTGTGGAAAAAAATATAACAAAAAAAAAATAGCCTATACACAGGTTTGGTGAGATACTCCCCAAGTGTTAATCACTTCTAAAGTGAGGCAGATACTGCAGCTTTCCTCATAAGGGTACGTTTGCACAGGTGTTTTGCCATGGTGTAAATCCCAGTATTATGGGTTTCATAGCTGCAGGTAGCTAGCGGCCACAGCTATTTGTGGCTGTTCACAAAGCCAGTGATCACCTGCTGTGATCACATCTGGAGGCATACAGTGTGTCCAGCTGTGATCACCGAAGGTAATAGCTGACTGCGACAGCAGATTTCCTGTCATTGGGATTCCCACTGTGGCAAAACATCCATGAGAATGTACCCTTAGAACACAACACAGTGCATCAGCAGATTAGTAATGAACCATACTGTCCTATTCAGAATGAGTATGCGATCAGACTGGTGAAACAGACAGCTATTTCTTCACAGCAAAAAAAGGTAGGAATCTGCTAAAAAATTTGTTATCCTTGCAATGTACATTGATCTACACGCTAGGGTTTGTGTTTTTCTCAACAAAAGTGGAGTTGATCTTTAAAGTAGATTGACTGCAGATTAAAAGAAGGTGAAATGAATCTCCAATGATTTCTTAAAGGAAAAGTTCACCTTTTAACAAAAAAATTTTTTTCCAGGTAAAACAATGTGCATTCACTATTTTTTTGTTTTGGGAGACTGTAAAGCATTGCACCAGCAATCAGCAGATTGCTGGTAACATGCAGGACTCCTGCAGACCTGTCAGTATATCTGTCTGCTCATACTGGCAAGGATATACACTGACAGGAAGAATCGATGAATTATCACGGCGTTCAACAGCGCCGTGGTAGTTCATTGAGAACTAAAAGCCAACACCGCAAAGGCTGTCGGAACTTGTAGTTTTCCTATGCACAGCATACTGTGAATGAGAGAGTGATGCGGCCAGAGCCCTACACAGCCAAACTTTTTTTTTTTTTAAAGTTCCCCGCTATCTGTCACAATGGGGGATGGGGGGGGGGGAGTTAGGGCCAGTTCTTTCATAACATGTTACACCCAGAGTATAGGTGTAACATGTTACCAAAGGTGAACTTATCCTTTAATGATCTCAGAAGCATCTCAACCTCATGGTAGATTGAGTGCATTGACACACTCCCATAGTGCATTGACACATTCCCTTTTATTCTTTGGGACTGCTTTATTCAACATTAGCAACCAGTCATAGGTAAGCATATTTATGATCTGATCTGATATATTAGAAGCAATGGGCTTGGGTATCATTTTTTCCTTTGCTTCAATTTTAATTATTCATAAAGCTGTTCTGTAGGATGTAACATAAGCTTAAATGTGTCCACGCCTCTAAAGAAGGTTCACAGTAAGCTCTGAGGTCTTCATATTTCTTTTGACTTTTGTTGATATTATTATACATGTGTTTTTGTTTTACAGCTGTCCTTCTCCCCCACCACGCCGATGACCTGCCACGTTCGTGTATTGGTTCTTCTTAATGTCATGCTTCTGGCCTGCTGTGGCCTGGGGAGTTCTCTGTGTACTTGCTGGATATGAACATGGGATGCATACACTGGCATTCATGGCTGCTGAGGTCAGTAATATGTGTTGAGCAAATGTAGACAAGCAAAATAGTTGTAAGGCTTTTGACTTTCATAGAAAGGGCAGAGGTGTCTTTGATGAGCAGGCTGTGATTGAAAACCTTGCTTTACTTTCTCTAGCCTGTGAGAAAGTTAAGATTGGAGTACGGTGGATATAAAAAGTCTACACACCCCTGTTAAAATGTCAGGTTCCTGTGATGTAAAAAAAGGTGACAAAGATAAATCATTTCAGAACTTTTTCACCTTACAACTCAATTGAAAAACAAACAAATCTTTTAGGTGGAGGGAAGTAAACATAAAAAACTAAAATAATGCGGTTGCATAAGTGTGCACACCCTTAAACTAATACTTTGTTGAAGCACCTTATGATTTTATTCCAGCACTCAGTCTTTCTGGGTATGAGTCTATCAGTATGGCACAACTTGACTTGGCAATATTTGCCCACTCTTCCTTGCAAAAACACTCCAAATCTGTCAGATTGCAAGGGCATCTCCTGTGCACAGCTCTTTTCAGATCATCCCACAGATTTTCGAGTGACAGCCAGTGTGGGAGAAGATCGGCCAGCCAGAGGCTGCAGAAGTGGGAACATGTTTCATGTTCCACCCTAAAAACGGGTGGAACATATAACATGTTCCCAAAGGTAAATGTATCCTTTAACTGTTTCCCGCCCGCCATAAAATAATATGATGGACGCAAGGTGGTTCTCTCGTTTTGGGAGAACGTCAGACACAGACACGGCTCCCTCGGACACAGCGGATCACCGATCCACGGAAAGAGCCGAAGATGTCGGCTCGGTCATGTGATCAGCTGTGTCCAATCCCAGCTGATCACATGTAAACAGGGAAATGCTGGTTATCGGCATTTCTCTCCCCACGAGCTGTCTCGCTGACAGCTTGTGAGGAGAGGAGAGCCGGTAATTGGCATTCCTCGGAGGGGACATGTACACAGATCGTCAGAGCACTGATGATCAGTGTGCCCTGATGATCTGTGTAGCCCCAGCAGCGCCACCTGTTAGTGTCCATCAGTGCCAGCTCTCAGTGCTCATCCATGCCACCTGCCAGTGCCCATCAGTGCCACATTTCAGTGCCCATCAATGCCACTTATCAGTGCCCATCTGAGCTGCCTTTCAGTGTCACCCATCAGTGCCAGCTATCAGTGCCAGTCAGTGCCGCCTAACAGTGCCCGTCAGTGCTGCCTATCAGTTGCTCCTGTCAGTGCCATATATGAGTGCTACCTTTCAGTGCCCATCAGTGATGCCTGTCAATGCCCATCAGTGCCACCTACCTGTGCCTCATCATCAGTGCCACCTATCAGTGTCCATCAGTGCAGCCTATCAGTGCCCATCACTGCAGCCTCATTAGCGCACATCAGTGAAGGAGAAAAAAATCACTTATTTACAAAAGTTTATAACAAAAACTAAGAAAAAACTTTTTTTTTTTCAAACTTTTCAGTGGTTTTTGGTTTAAGAAAAAATAAAAAACCCAGAGGTGATTAAATACCACCAAAAGAAAGCTCTATCTGTCACAAAAAAATGATACAAATTTCATATGGGTACAGTGTTGCATGACCATGCAAATGTCATTCAAAGTGCAACAGCGCTAAAATCTGGAAATTGACCTGGCAGGAAGGGGGTATAAGTGCCCTGTAGGCTAGTAGTTAAATACATTACAGTGCACAAAGGATCCAGCATTATGAAGCAAGCATGCTTTAAAACAATTAAAGTGGTTCTAAAAGCTGAATATTTTTTGCCTTAATGCATTGCCTGCATTATGGTACAAAATGTCCCCATATTTGTATTGCTCCCTCACCCCCCTGTATACGTACCTGAACCTGATTTCAATCCAGTGCTATGCCGGTCTGTAGCGACTCTCTCCTGTCTCTGAGTTCACAGAGGCAACAGAGGCTCCTGCTGCTGTCAGTCAAATCCTGTGAGCAGGGAGCAGGGCTGAGTGGCGCTCTGCGTGTCTCAATAGATGCACACAGGCAATCTCGGGAGCGGACCCAAAGGTGTGTCCCCATAGAAAGTGGTTTCCTATGGTGGAGTACTGAGAAGAGGAGCCCAGAACGCCGGTGAGGGAACCAAGAAGAGGAGGTTCCAGACTGCTCTGTGCAACATCGTTGCACAGAGCAGGTAAGTATGACATGTTTACTATTTTTAAAAAAATGAAGCTTTACAATCACTGTAAGTATGTAACTATGTTGCCATTTCCTATATGCAGACTTTTTTGTCATTCTCTCTTATTTATTTTCAGTGATTTGCTTTATTGCATTTCTATGATTTAGTGAGAGCTGTGTAAATGTTCTTCCTTTGTAAGATGCATCTGTTTATTATGCAGTATCTGTGTGTGGATATTAACCAATGACATATAGCGTAGCCAGATTATAACTGCTAGATTCTGCAATGGGACAAAGATGTCAGGAATAGATCTAGGACAATGTGGAGACACCAGATATGGACAGCACAAACACTCCCTTTAAGTTGGTTTCCCAATAGCCTCAGCAGATATAAATCCATTATTGTATGCCAAAAGTCTTTACAAACCCAGATACTTGTAAAAGTAGTTGTGACATCATCACTGTGCTGCATACAGCCTGTGCAGAGAGAAGAGCTGTGGGAAGGACCCAGCAAGTCCACCTCTACAGACTGCCTGGAAAAAACATGGGGACGGATCTAAGACCAGCCATCCTGCACAAGGACAGAAAGCAGCAGTGACTGCATAGAGGCACAGTTTTACACTGACGTACTGTACAGATCTGGAGGAAATACACAAAGTACACCAAGAATCAAGTAAAAATACACACGACTCTTGTATTTAGACAATATTTTCATATCCTGGAGTTCAGTTTTAGTGCCAGTACACATATATGCGGATTGGATGCGGTTTGAACAGCATCCAATCCACATGAGATGTGAAATAACATTGCTTCCTATGGTACCTGTTCACATATGGTCGGTGCAGAATCAGTGCGGTTTAATGTACGATTTCTGAGCGGTTCCATCTGGTTCAGGTGCGAATTATAGGCTGAGGGGGGAGGGGTAGCGGAAGGCTCTCCCAGGTGGGGGGCAGTGGTGTTGTTGGTCAATGTCAGGCTCTCTCTGTGGGAGGGGAAGGGAGGTAGTGTTGGTCGGTGTCCGTGGGGGCAGATGATTTTTGTGTTGCCTAGGGCAGCACAAAACCTAATTACACTACTGGCCTGAACCCGATGTAAACCTGACCTGAACAGGTGAACAGCTACTGTGTCAATTAGCTGTGAACCCTGAGCTTCAATCCGCACTGCATATATGTGAATCAGCACTTAAATTGTACGGAGGAGAATGGCATTAGAGTGTAGGTCATGTGTAAATCTATACTTACCCCTCTCCTCTCTAGAAGTATTTTTACTGCTGGTAATCACTTGGTGTGAACAAGATTTATTGGGGGTCCTTTGACACCCTTAGTTGCACAGCAGTAAGGTGGGAATTTTGCCACTGAAATTTTACACTACTTAGTCTTCACAACAAGGTCGGGTGGTAGCTAGACTAAGGCTGCTTATAGACAAAAGAAGGCAATTGAATGTACACGGATGATGTAGCCATTCAGAGGTAGCATTCTTGGTGGAATGTTCTGTTGTTATGAGTGTAGGTCATCCTGTCTGGATGAGGATGGCTGGAATTTGATTTTGTGCTGATACATTTACATTGACTCCACGTCACATCTAGCCTTTTTAAAATAGTCTCCAGGAAAGTTCTGTAATACCTATCTTTTTTTGTCTTTTCTAGTGTTTATTGGTGACAACCAGGACGGCTCATGTTGTGTTGCGGTAAGTAGAATGCATATCACACAAGAAGGTGGTCTGATAAATTCTGCTACTATATGTCAAGGTAGTTCAAAATAAATGGTTTACATTTTATCACTATGTACTTAGTTTGCATAACTTGGAAATCTGAATTAGATTATTTTCAATGTGCCCAACACCCTGACATTGTTTAACCTGATGTTTTAGGGTGTAAATGTTACCGGAAAAATCATTATCTTAACGTATGTTTCCACTTGCAGCTAGATTGGGATAGCACCTGTTTAAGATTTGTTACATGTCCTCATTCACATAGCACAGCTAAGAGATATAAAAAAAAATACCACCAAAATAAAGCTTTATCTGTCTCAAAAAAATGCTTTTTAAATGCTCTTTTCTGAAAACTTCAAGGCTGGAAAATCCTGCCTCCTTTTCTTTCTTTTTCTAGTAATGTTTATATGAAGAATGGGGAGTTAGTGTTAGTAAAGGATAACTGTAACTGTTCTTATCCTGCATACCCTGTATCAGGGGCGGACTGACCATTCGAGCACACGGGCACTGCCCGAGGGCGGGGGGGTCAGTAGGGGGCCCCATGAGATGCCCCTGGTACCTTTTTTTTTTTTTATAGGCTTTTTTGAGTGTGGGCAAGGACACAGAGGCCCCATGATCCCCTATTGCCCGGGGGCCCCATGAGATGTCAGTCTGCCCCTGCCCTGTATCAAAAAAAGATCTGTGTACTTGCCTTTTTTTTTATTTGGTCCTGTTCGGTGACATGATGCAGCAGCTCCAGCTTCCCTTGACAACAGTTGTGAATTCCGGGAGCCGTGACATCACTCAAAGGCTTCCATGGATCATACATCGTCGGGCTATTCCTCTCCCCTGCAGCAGCTGTGACACACTGACACAGGGAAGCCGGAGCAGCTGGTTCACATGAACGGACTGGACCAGAAAAAGTACACAGATCTTTTTGATGACGTTTTTTAGGAATAGTTAGTTAAGTAGGGTATACATGGACTGAAAACCAGCAGGTTCAGCAGGAATTGGCTCACTTTTAGTCCATGTGTACCGCTGACTGTTCAACAGGAGTCACTCTAAAAACCGGCTTCTGTTCCAACACCTATGCGATAAAAACCAGTGTTCAATCAGCACTTACAGCCAATGGCTGCAGTGCTGATCAGTGTATTCTGACAGCTCACTGGGAGAGATCGCTGCATCACACATGGTTTGTGTTTAATGTGGGAATCTGTCAGGTTTTTTTTTTTTTTTTTTCGTTCAGCCTGGTACATTGGACATATATACCCTGTTTTAGCCTTGTCTTTCACTTGAAAGTTTACCATAATCAACCCTGTCTACAATATGTGGGGCAGATCTCATTATCCATTATAACTAGATTTTAACAATGTTTGTTGTTACAAGAGCTAGGCTTCTTGCATTGTGTGTTAATGAGGGAAAGCACAGTGTGTCACTGGGGACAGGCTCACGTTTAAATTGTTCAGAGCAGCCAGAGGTATGCTGTGTAAATAGAAAGAAATAACATCCATATAGTGGGATTTTCTCAAATTTTACTGCATAAATAGAAGTAAGCTTTAGTTCTGGATGCAAGGACAAGAAGCTTCATTTAACTACATAATGTGGAAGGCAAACATTGACCTTCAGACTGCTTTTATTTATATTGCAAAGAATCCAGAAATTCTAAACGGTGTAGGGTAGTTGTAAAGCTCTGTGGCCCAACGTTTGTGGACACCTGACCATCGCATATATATGAATTTGTTGGACGTCTCGTTACAAACCCCTGGGCATTAACCACTTGCCATCCTGCCGCTGTATATAAACAGCCGGACGGTGGCAGTCCAGGGGCGGGTTGCCATTCAAAAATGGCGCCCGCCATTTTGGACTGGGAGCGTGCAGCACCGCAATCCGGTACCCGCTGTGTCCTCCGGAACACCTCTGTGCGAGGTCCCGATCATGTGATCACTGATTGGCCAATCAGTGATAGAATGCAGAGTAGTAAGCAAGATGTCACTTCTGACATCATTGCTTACGTGTGAAATCTGTGAATGATCACAGAGGTCACATGGTACAAGGCTATTCACAACAGCCTTGTACCATGTGACAACCTGTGACCAATCACAGCTCACACAGTTCTCAATGGCTGCAAGAATGCAGCCAGAGAGGAGAAAATGATTGCTTTTACAGCCTTTATGGGTGTAAAAGCTATCAGTGTAAAAAAAAAAAAAAAATCTTCATCACCCCCCACAAGTAGTACAGTGTCACCATGGTGACACTGTACTGCTAGGGTGACAGTATGTAGAAAAAAAACCCATAAATAATAATATAAAAATGTAAAAAAAATGTTTTTTAAATTATAATTTTTGGTTATAAACTAGTTTGGGTTATTTTTTTTTTTACTAAAAAGATAACTGAATACATTTTGGCCAAGAATTATGATGAAATATTATTTATTTGTAAAATTTTATAAGAAAAACACTTTTTTTCTAAATTTTTGTACTTTTTCATTTTTATGTACAAAAAAATAAAAACCCCAGTGGTGAATAAATACCACCAAAATAAAGCTTTATCTGTCTCAAAAAAATGCTGACAAATGCATATGGGTACAGTGTTGCATGACCGCGCAATTGTTATTCAGAGTGTGATGGCGCTAAAAGCTGAAAATTGGCCTGGACAGGAAGGGGATAAAAGTGTCCAGACTTGAAGTGGTTAATATGGTGTTACACCTCCTTTCCTTCTGACTAGAACAGCCTTCACTTTTCTGGGATGGCTTTCCACAGGATTGGGTGTTTCTGTGCTAATGTGTGACATTCAGCCAAAAGAGCATTAGTGAGGTTAGTTATTGATTTTGGACAAGAGGAGCTGGCATGGATTCAGCATTCCAATTAATCCCAAAGGTGTTCAATATAGCTGAGGTCTGGACTCTGTTCAGGCCACTTCAAGTCCTCCACAACAAACCATCCCAACCATTTCTTTATGTACTTACTTTTTTCATTCTGAAACAGAAAAGGACCTCCTGCAAACGTTTGTAACAAGTTGGAAGCACACTCGTCTAATATGTCTTTGTGTAAGCTGTCTAAAACCTATTTCCACCTTTGCAGTTAAATTTGAGAAAAGCCCCACTATATGTTTGCTGCGTTCCCATTCATATAGCATGACTAGATAAAATGTTTTAAAATATTTTTTTACCTTTTTAGAGTTTCTCAGAAAGAGGTGCTCATGGCTGATGGCAAGTATTTTTTGCACAATGTTAGAGTGAGTCTGCCTCATGTCTGTCCTCATTAACATACAATGTAAGCAGCCCGGCCTCTGCATCTTTAAACTTTTGTTAGGACAGTGTTGAAATCTAGTTACAATTGATAATGAGGGTCTGCCTGCACAGTACAGACTAGGTTTACTATGGCAACCATGGTTCCTAAAGCCCCCTCATAAATAAAGAGAACTAGGTAGGATTTTCCTTGCTGGAAGGTCCAGAACACAGCATCAAAAAAAAGGTAAGCTGCAATTTTTTTTTTATTTTAAAGTTATGCTATGTGAATAGGGATATGTAACCGTTATAAAGTAGATGGTATCCCAATTTGGCTGCAAAAATGGAAATACACTTTAAGAACAGTAATATAATACTAATCATAAAATCTTTTTTGTGGCAGCTATGTGATTCATCTATGGGACCTCAACCACGAAGGAACATGGGAAGGCAAAGGAACATATGTATATTACACAGACTTTGTGATGGAGCTCAGTCACCTGTCCATGGACCTAATGCATCATATTCACATGTTGGTATGTGTAGCTGTCTGCAGATCTGTTTAGTTTAACTACTTGCCAACCGCAGGTAGCCGAATGACGGCTACACTGCGGTCAGCCAGTTCTGGGAGGGCGTCATATGACGTCCTCCCAGAACGCGCTCTGGGGCGCGCACCCGGCGATCTCCATGATCTCTGTGTCCTATGGACACAGCTGATCACGTGATGTGGTAAAAGGCCAATCACAGCGGCCTTTTACCACGTGATCAGCCGTGTCCAATGACACGCTGATCACCGGGAAATGCAATTGCCGGTTCTCAGCTGCACTTTCCTCGCGCTGTCAGAGCGCGAGAAAAGTACTGCCGAGAAATGGCAGTTGTCAGAGCAGGGATTGGCACCGATCATCAGGGCACTGATGATCAGTGCCCAGCAGTGCCACCTACCAGTTCCGCCCACCTGTGCCCACCAGTGCCACCTACCTGTGCCCACCAGTGCCGCCCACCAGTGCCACCCACCTGTGCCCACCAGTGCCACCCATTAGTGCCCATCAATGCAGTGCCACCAGTCAGTGCCTAGCGGTTGTGCCAGTCAGTGCCCAGCAGTTGCGCCAGTCAAAGCCTAGCAGTGCCGCTAGTCAGTGCCCAGCAGTGATGCCAGTCAGTGCCACCTATCAGTGCTGTCTATCAGTACCCATCATCAGTGCCACCTATCAGTGCCGCCTATCCGTGACACCTCATTAGTGCTGCCTATCAGTGCCCATCAGTGCTGCCTCATCAATGCACATCAGTGAAGGAAAAAAATTGCCTATTTTATAATAGAAATAAAGAAAAAAAATTTTTCAAATTATTTGCATTTTTTTGTTTATAGCACAAAAAGTAAAGCGCCCAGCAGCGATAAAATACCACCAAAAGAAAGCTCTATTTGTAAGAAAAAAATGATATAAATTTTATATGGGTACAATCTTGCATAACTGCGCAATTGTCAATCAAAGTGCGACAGCGCTGAAAGCTGACAATTGGCCTGGTAAAGAAGGGGGTATAAGTGCCCGGTAGGCAAGTGGTTAATTGAGTGTAACACTGGAGGAAAAAAATTGTCATATAAAGTCTTTATTTACTGGTGTTCTGTCCTTCTCCCGTTTATTAGTTATTTGGGAATATCTGGCTGTCTATGGCGAGTCTTGTTATCTTCATGCAGCTTCGTCACCTGTTCCATGAGCTGCAACGCAGATTACGACGCCACAAAAATTACCTGCGAGTTGTGGGGAACATGGAAGCTCAGTAAGTTGTTTTTGTTTTGGTAGCATGAATATTTTCTCTGTTCTCTCTTGTTAGTTTAACTTTTTAATTTACAGGGTTTATTTAAATTTGTCTCAAACCATATGGCGGTAGTCTTTTTTTGGTAATGATCTCATATGGACGGAAGTGTACCAATGATGTTTAAATCCTCTTAAATGTAACCATATTAAAGACAATGACAGTAAACCTAAAAAGGGATTGCTGTGGCCAGCACAGATGCTTTTCTTTTCTCCATCCTTACTAGTGTGCGACTGACAACCAGGAAGTCTGATTTTGCTTTTCCATTATAATATAATATACAATGAATATGTACTGGAACTTGTGCATTCCATGTCTGCAAAATAATAAAAGAAACAACAATATAAGGATACCAGTGATGTTTGCTTTGCACTGTGGAAAGCAGGGCCCCTGCATGATGCTTCACAGAGAGGCCCAAAACATAAATCCTTTTTATATTCTATCAGACCTAGAAACATTAAAAAAAAAAGAATATTTTTTTTTTTTTTAGCAATAAATTACATTTAAAGCGAAGCTCCACCCAAAAGGGGAAGTTCCGCTTTGGGGAGTGGGGGGGGGGGAGCGGGTACCCGAATTTTACAGGTACCCGCTCCCACTTCTGGTCCAATTGCCTAGGCGAACGGAAACGGAAGGTGTCCTCCCTCCCTCCCTCCCTGTAGTCTTTTAGGACACGTGACCGGTCCCAGAAGACTACAGGACCATTCATGAAGCGCAGCGCTACTCGCGCATGCTCAGTGGGTACCTAGCTGTGAAGCCGCAAGCGATCACAGCCGGGTGCCCACACTGAAGATGCCAGCCTCCTGGAATACAGGACGGCCGGTGAAACGAGCTGCGGGGGACACACCACAGGACCGAGGGACAGGTAAGTGGCTGTTTTTTAAAATTCAGCAGCTTCAGTTTTTTTGTAGCTGCTGACTTATTTTTTTTGACAGGGTGTGTGGAACTCCGCTTTTAAGTTTTTTTTAGATTCTACACTATACACAAACTATCAATGGTAAGAACATGGCAAATCTTATTTTGCAAGCAATAGGGTGGTGCAAGTGAAATTATCGCACATGTGAGTAGTCAGGGACCAAAGTTTGGTGTAAACATGCACCTAAATTAGTCCGGTTCCGCTGGTTGAAAAAAAAACAAAAAAAAACCTGCATGTATTCCCTGCTTACCTACTTGCCAACCGCAGATAGCCGAATGATGGCTACACTGCGGCTGGCCAGATCTGGGAGGGCGTCATATGACATCCTCCCAGAACGCGCTCTCCTGCACACACCTGGCGATCTCCGTGAACGCTGTGTCATATGACGTCCTCCCAGAACGCGCTCTCCTGCGCGCCCCCAGGGGCGTGCACCTGGTGATCTCCATCATCTCTGTGTCCTACGGACACAGCTGATCACGTGATGTGGTAAAAGGCCAATCACAGCGGCCTTTTACCACGTGATCAGCCGTGTCCAATGACATGCTGATCACCGGGAAATGCAATTGCCGGTTCTCGGCTGCACTTTCCTCACGCTGTCAGAGCGAGATGAAAGTACTGCCGAGAACCGGCAGTTGTCAGAGCAGGGATCGGCACCGATCCTCAGGGCACTGATGATCAGTGCTCTGATGATCGGTGCCCAGCAGTGCCACCCACCAGTTCCACCAACCTGTGCCAGCAGCAGTGCCACCTACCTGTGCCCAGAAGTGCAGTGCTGCCAGTCAGTGCCACCAGTTAGTGCCCAGCTGTTGTGCCAGTTAGTGCCCAGCAGTTGTGCCAGTCAATGCCTAGCAGTGCCGCCAGTCAGTGCCCAGCAGTATCTGTGCTGTCTATCAGTATCTGTGCTGTCTATCAATGCCGCCTATCAATGCCGCCTATCCGTGCCACCTCATTAGTGCTGCCTATCAGTGCCCTTCAGTGCTGCCTATCAGTGCTGCCTATCAGTGCTGCCTCATCAACGCACATCAGTGAAGGAGAAAAATTACCTGTTTGAAAAATTTTATAATAGAAACAAAGAAAACATTTTTTTTCTCCAAATTTTTTGCACTTCTTTTTGTGAGAAAAAAATAACAATTTCATATGGGTACAATCTTGCATGACCGCGCAATTGTCAATCAAAGTGCAACAGCGCTGAAAGCTAAAAATTGGCCTGGTAAAGAAGGGGGTATAAGTGCCCTGTAGGCAAGGGGTTAACATAAATATGATGATGAGTTCTAAATAAACTAGATGTCACTTTTAATTATTACTAATGCTTGGCAGTAAGATGAAAATATTGTTACCTCTGGGTAATTTCATCTTGATGGAAATGTGTTCTTCATAGATGCATATCTGGATTTAAAGCGGTAGTAAACTCTCATTTTTTTTATTTTTACCTACAGGTAAAATTATAATAAAGCTTACCTGTATGTAAAATGAATAACTCCTAAACGTGCACCATTTAGGAGATATTCTAGCAAGCTGCAGCCAGTGACATCACTGATCCTTCAGAGCTGTATGCCATGGCAGAGACTCCCGCACGCATGCAAGGGAGTGACGTCATCGTGGCTCGGCTAATCAAGTGGCTGCAGCCCGCGAACCCGGAAGGAAGAATGGGCGAAGATGGAAGTCTCTGCAGCAGGTGACAACATGCTGTTGGAGGGTTTCGTTTTAACGTATGTCCTTCATAATGTGTTGGTATGTGATTGCATACTAGCACATCATGCATTTGCCTTGCAGGGAGAAACACACTTTTTTTTTTTTTTTTTCTTTTTGAATTTGCTACCGCTTTAAAGAGATTCCTTCTTCATTAAACCTTAAGAACCTAGAACAGGGGTGTCCAGCCTTTCGGCTTTCCTAGGGCACATTGGAACAAAAGGAATTGTCGGTATTTTAGCAATGTGTAAAAATAATGAGGGGAACCCTGCACTGGCCAGTAAGTTAAAAGTCTCCAATGTATCATAGGTGTGGAAATGTTCTGGAAATAAATTGTAACATTTCACCAGAGGGAGATCATTCTGGGAATGAAAGTGAGCTAGATAGACTGTTTTCACAGTTTCACAATATTTGAGTGCACTCTTCCTCCTGTTGTATTGTTAGCAAAAACAAAACAAAATTGTGAAAAAATACCCCAAATCATGCTAAATTTAAGTGATAATATTGCGAAATCAATATTTAATGCATTCAGTAAATAACGCATGTTTTTTTGTGAATTGACTGTTTTTGAGATAAATTACGCATGGGGTATTTTAACTAAAAAATGTATGCGGTATTTATCTTTGTAAATTGACCCTTGTGTTCTTTTTTTATTTTTTTTTTTTGGTATTGGCTGGTATCTTAGAAAAGGGTCTCATTGTTGGTGTTCATAATATTATATTCCGTTATTCTTTCCATAGCTTTGCTGTTGCTACTCCAGAGGAACTGGAAGCAAATAATGATGACTGTGCCATCTGCTGGGACTCTATGCAAGCTGCTCGGAAGCTTCCTTGTGGTCACCTGTTCCATAAGTACGTGATGTCTGTAATCATTTTGTTGAGGGTTAGCTCAGTGTAGAATCGGAACCAGTGAGTAATTCATCTGCTAGATCCCTAGATCTAATAGGCTTTACTGATTAAAGGTTTCTGCAGCAGTGTGTCCTCTTCCATCCCACACAATGAAGCTAAATGTAAACTATCTTTGGGTTTATCCCAACTGGATTTCCTGACAAGTTTAGGAAGTTATTATGTGATTTATCATGCTAGCTGTCATAGACTGTAATACCTGTTTTGGGTGGAGTTGAAGAATATCTTGACAATGCATGGTACATAAATAGGGCAGAATGCATAAAGGGGGGGAGGTGCAGCGCTAACTTAATAAATATACACTTAAATAGTTACACAAACCAATGTTAAGGTGCTATTAAAGTGCAAAACGGTGACTAAAATGAGTATAGTCCATAACGTGTTCAAAAGGTGTTCAAAACCCAAGAGTCTTCAAAAAGCTCCAATGCCTGGATTCGTGGATGAGGTGATAAAGGTATAAAGATTGCGCACTCACCAGATACGCAATCCAAATGCGCATTCAAAGCAGATAATCCTAGGGTCCTCATATGGATCTGGTCAGATCTGGTCACAAAAGCCCCTCGTCACTCGATGGTGTTTGCCACGCATAGAAGAAAAAAGGGGGGGCCACTCTGCAGATGTAAAGGGCTCCCAACGGAGCTGTTGGCAGTAATTCAATAACAAGTCTGGGGTATGCGATATCCGAGCATCCGGAAGGGTTGCCGCAGATTGACCTGCAGATTTCGGGATCTGCACAAGCTACATCATCTGTGAAGAGGACTCTGCTGATCATCCCAGGAAGAACCATCAAAAAGAATGGCAACACCTTGAGGTAAGCTGCAAGAAGAGAGCCGCCCTTAGCATGAGAGAGGTTCTTGGCAGACAAAGATCTCTGGACAATCCAGAGATTGTCCAGAGATCTTTGTCTGCCAAGAACCTCTCTCATGCTAAGGGCGGCTCTCTTCTTGCAGCTTACCTCAAGGTGTTGCCATTCTTTTTGATGGTTCTTCCTGGGATGATCAGCAGAGTCCTCTTCACAGATGATGTAGCTTGTGCAGATCCCGAAATCTGCAGGTCAATCTGCGGCAACCCTTCCGGATGCTCGGATATCGCATACCCCAGACTTGTTATTGAATTACTGCCAACAGCTCCGTTGGGAGCCCTTTACATCTGCAGAGTGCCCCCCTTTTTTCTTCTATGCGTGGCAAACACCATCGAGTGACGAGGGGCTTTTGTGACCAGATCTGACCAGATCCATATGAGGACCCTAGGATTATCTGCTTTGAATGCGCATTTGGATTGCGTATCTGGTGAGTGCGCAATCTTTATACCTTTATCACCTCATCCACGAATCCAGGCATTGGAGCTTTTTGAAGACTCTTGGGTTTTGAACACCTTTTGAACACGTTATGGACTATACTCATTTTAGTCACCGTTTTGCACTTTAATAGCACCTTAACATTGGTTTGTGTAACTATTTAAGTGTATATTTATTAAGTTAGCGCTGCACCTCCCCCCCTTTATGCATTCTGATTATTGTGAAGGTTTTATGGTACCTTTTTGGTGTTCAGCTGCTATTTTCTAGTTTAATTTAATTTTGTTCACTTATTGATTTTATAAGTTGTTTTAAGCGCTCACTTGTCTTGAGATTTACATAAATAGGGCAGGATGGGGAAATGTAACCTTGTGAGTTTTTTTTTAGGCAAGCTTCAAGGGAAGAGGTGCACATTGCCTGCAGATATGACAATTGCATGAATCAATATTTTTCAATTATATTTTTCTTCAGTAATACATGTTGTATATTTAAACAAGAGCACGTGGAAATTTTTTTTTTTAAATTTTGCAACCCAGAATTAACTTACCCAGTACTAGCATCCCTAGCTTAGTATAACCAGTCCTTTTATCTCATCCCAGACAATTTCTGTCTTCTGGCAGAGACCACATTTGGATCATTTTTGGTATATTGGTGGTCAAGAAAGCAGAGTTTGTTGCTTATTTTACAAAAAAAAATAATAGGTCTCTGAGCACAATTTAAAAATTATAGCATGGCAAGTATTAAGCTACCAGGTTTAGAGCAGATATGTGATTTACATACTAGTTATAATATTTTTGAGGCCATAGAAGCCTTTAAGAAAAACTTCAGCCAAAAAAAAAAAAAAACAAATGCTGTATCAGATACTTACCAGTCCCTGAAGTCCAATGCTGTCTTCCTGCAGCTGGTTCTTCTCACTGCAGCAGGTCCTGGGCAGTTGCATCTTGGATTTGAGATCTGGCTTTGACTTCCTAAGTAATCACAGCAGGCTCTCCGCTGTGCATGCAGAAAGTCATGCGGTGCTTTTGGACTGGTTCAGCAGCCTCCTAGGACATGTGACAAGTTGCAGACGGTGGACCAATGCGTACGTCATTCTCACCTAGGCAAGAAAGTAGGAGCAGATACCTGCCCACAAAAGTTCCTGCTCCAATGGAAAAAAAAAAAACCTCTCAAAAGTGTAGGGGGTGGGGAGGAGGATTAGCGGCACTTTCATTTTTGAGTGAAGGTTTGCTTAAAGTGTCATATTAGTTGTTTTTTTTTACCTTTTATACATTTAAATATGTTTTATATCTGTTTTCACATTGAATATACATGCAATCTTTTTTTCTTAAATATTTAAAGCATAAATATAGTTGATTTAATGATTTCCCTAAACTGTCACATTTAAGGCATGCCTCAGATGGCTGGTTGCATGGCTGGTCATGTGTTTAGCACCATGGCAACAGCAGATATAAATAAATGCTAAGATGCATCATCTTCAGCTGTAAAGGATAGGTGGGTTTATTTTCCTTTTAATATAGGACAAAAGATTCCCAGAGCTCTGTGGGTTAGCTAATGACACAGCACAGCTGACAAAGCTTGTTTTGAGGCTGGCTTTGTCTGATCAAAACCTAAGTAAATAGTCTTTGTTATGATGACTCCTTGAGTAAAATATGTACAAGACCATTATTTATTCCCATTACAAAAACATATAGCAGGAGATTTACTAAAACTGGAGCACTCAGAATCTGGTGCAGCTGTACATGGTCGCCAATCATCTTCTAACTTCAGCTTGTTCAGTTAAGCTTTGGCAATAAAACCTGGAAGCTGATTGGTTTCTATGCAGAGCTGCACCAGATTTTGCACTCTCCAGTTTTAGTAAATAACCCTCATAGTGTTTGTGGATTGGATCTATATTGTTGTTTAACTCCAGATAATTTCTTTTCATCACAGTTTTTTTTTTTTTTTTTTTGCTTTGTACATTTAGCTCTTGTCTTCGCTCATGGCTAGAACAGGACACATCCTGTCCAACTTGTAGAATGTCTCTAAATATGGCTGATGGCAACAGGCCTCGGGAACAGCAACGAGACAACATAGATCAGAATATGATCCCACTAACCGTGACAGAAGGTCGGCCCCGCCTCAACCAGCATAACCACTTTTTCCACTTTGATGGTAAGAGCAATGCAAGTAGAATTCCTTTGTTGGGGCTAATCTTTATGGTTTTAAACATCAATATGCTTGACTTAAAGGGTTAGCTCAGCTTTTAAAGCAGTTGTAAACCCTTACATGTACCTAGTGAAGTGACTGGCGTCAGGTGATACACAGAGATGAAACAAATCCTCCTACATAAGTTGTACCTGTCTATAGGCACTATTCTCTTTTCTACATACATTCAAAGAAAAAAGGGGGTGGAAAGTTACACTCTGCAGAGCTCAGTGAGGAGAGCTCTGAGAGCTGATTGAAGGGAAGGGAATCCCACCACCACCACAAAGCTCACAGGAACAGAGCTGAGGCTGTCAATCTGTTGGGGTCCCTGTCACCTGTCACCATGTTTGTCCTGGATTCAGTAAAACTTGTCAGAATTGATTCATGCTGATAACAGAAGAACCAGGCAGCAGAGAGAAATGGCACTTAGTGTCCTTGATTGAGACAAGTACACAGTATAGAGGGATGTACTTTGTTCATATTTCATGTCTGAGGTTTACAAGCATAAATATAATACTATATGCAGTTGATGAACACCATTTCTTAATGCTAAACTAATCTGATTTAAAAAAAAAAGCATTCTCTTTCCATTCCTGTAGGCCAATTAGACGAGTGCCCCTTAGTGGTACAGGAGCGAGCACTGTCCTCCTGAGCCCTGCACATGTGCAGCACCATCTTTTGTTGCTGCAAGATGACCACAGCATCTGCAACATGCTCTCTGTTCCATCGTAGATAGCACAATGCACATGTTTGGGGCTCGGTAGGAGGATATACTTGCTCCTATACTGCTAGGGGGGCGCTCTTCCTAATGGTTGGTGCATGCTAAAGAGGAGGACAGGATGGAACTGTGAAATATTTGGAGCACGCGCCACTCGGCACAAATGGCCTACAGGTATGGGCTGAGCATAAATGCATATTCTTAAAATCGGGTTAGTTGTAAATGCATGTATGGAATGGTGCATATGGACTGCACAGAGTATTTATTTAAAGGTGATCTAACTGTTTAACAATGATATTGGATAGTACTGTGAAGTAAAGTGGATTCATGAAAGCTAATATTTGATCTGCTATATTACTGTATATATGAACTTTACTGTTTGTTATTATAGAAAAAGCCCCATATTATGTGTGTAATGTGATCTGAACTCAGCTGCTAAATAATTTTTAATTGTTTCTATTATTAAAGGAAGATCTAATCAGGCGCTCTTCTCTGTAGGTTCCAGGTTTGCCAGCTGGCTGCCTAGTTTCTCTGTTGAGGTGATGCATACCACCAATATATTAGGAATTGCACAAGCCAGCAATTCTCAGCTGAATGCCATGGTAAGATTTGGAGGAATGTATATAATGTTATTCAGATTACTTTGTACATAAAGTTAGTCAAACATTGATTATCAACAGATCATTCATTGACAAAGTTCCAATTAGGTCTAGCCATAAACATATGGATTTGTCCATCCATGCTCTTCATCGCCCGTCCTTAGCAATTACTTACCTGATCACGCGCTCCAGTGCCACTTTTTCTTCCTGATGATGTCGGGCTTGACATTGCTTATTACATTTCAGTGTTGGGTGCTGGAAAGCTCTCTGCAAGATACTGCACAGGTGGTGGACCGAGCCCAGGATATGGTAGGCACCAGGGTCAAAGATCTTTTTACTTAGGATCCACAGATACACTATGTTGCCAAATGTTTTGGGACGCCTGCCTTTCCACGCTCATGAACTTTAATGGCATCCCGGTCTTAGTCCGTAGGGTTCAATATTGAGTTGGCCCACCCTTTGCAGCTATAACAGCTTCAACTCTTCGGGGAAGGCTGTCCACAAGGTTTAGGAGGGTGTCTATGGGAAGGTTTGACCATTCTTCCAGAAGCACATTTGTGAGGTCAGGCACTGATGTCGGATCAGAAGGCCTGGCTCGCAGTCTCCACTCTTAATTCATCCCAAAGGTGTTCAATCGGGTTGAGGTCAGGACTCTGTGCAGGCCAGTCAAGTTCCTCCACCCCAAACTTGCTCATCCATGTCTTTATGGGCCTTGCTTTGTGCACTGGTGCGCAGTCATGTTGGAACAGGAAGGGGCCATCCCCAAACTGTTCCCACAAAGTTGGGACCATGAAATTGTCCAAAATGTTTGGTATGCTGATTCATTAAGAGTTCCCTTCACTGGAACTAAGGGGCCAAGCCCAACTGCTAAAAAACAACCCCACACCACAATCCCCCCTCCACCAAACTTTTCACTTGGCACAATGCAGTCAGGCAAGTACCGTTCTCCTGGCAACTGCCAAACCCAGACACGTCCATTGAATTGACAGAGAAACGTGATTGGTCACTCCAGAGAACATGTCTCCACCGCTCTAGAGTCCAGTGGCGGTGTGCTTTACACCACTGCATCTGCCGCTTTGCATTGCACTTGGTGATGTAAGGCTTGGATGCAGCTGCTCGGCCATGGAAACCCATTCCATGAATCTCTCTACACACTGTTGTGCTAATCTGAAGGCTCTATCATTTTACGTGGACTACCACTTTATGGCTGAGTTGCTGTTGTTCCCAGTTGATTCCACTTTGTTATAATACCACTAACAGTTGGAATATTTAGTAGTAAGGAAATTTCACGGATGGACTTATTGCACAGGTGGCAACCTATCACGGTACCACTCTTGAAGTCACTGAGCTCCTGAGAGCGACCCATTCTTTCACAAATGTTTGTAGAAGCAGTCTGCATGCCTAGGTGCTTGATTTTATACACCTGTGGCCATGGAGGTGATTGGAACACCTGAATCCAATGATTTGGAGGGCTGGCCCAATACTTTTGGCAATATAGTGTATTTGGAGGTTAGATTGCTAATTTTGGACAGTATAACAGTTCTTATAATTTTTTGTCTTTTGACTACAATATTTGTTTTTGTTACTGTTCTGTTACATTTTTGATTTTTCATTTCACAGCCTGCAGTTCTTCTCTAAAGTAAAATGGACACCAGTGGGCACTTCTAAGTGTAGCAACTTAGTGTTTATTATTAAAAACCGTGAAAAATGCACTTGTATTTAGTAAGATGAAAGAAGCAAACCAAGGGACAACACATAAGTAATGCTACATTGGAAATCCACTGTCCTCCCCTCCATATCTATATGGCTTGCTCTTGTTAATAAGACTGTTCCCACGTGCAAATTGACATATGGGTCAAGGGGATGCCCAATGAAGTTCAATAAGGTCTGGTCCGCCTGGCTAGATTCCCAAAATATGGTTACCCCGGAATAGTGTTCTGTGCCTACATGTACATAATTACTTTGGTCATTTGTTATGCCTATGCCTTCAAAACTTTTGTGGTGATCTATTTCCTGTGCCATGTTTCTGTTTCGGGCCATGGGTATTTGGTCCTTCTCATTTATCACTGCGCTAGTATGTATGGACATGCTTTTATTTCATCTTGTTTTGTAAACTGCTGAGCTACACTATGTTCTTTCTTTTTTATTTTGAAAACATGAGAACATTTAAAAAAAAGTACTCTTTAAAGCGGAGTTCCAGCTGAAAAAAAAAAAAAGTCAGCAGCTACAAAAACTGTAGCTGCTGACTTTTAAAATACAGCCACTTACCTGTCCCTCGGTCCAGCGGTGTCTTCACCATGGCTGGTTTCACTGGCCATCTTCTCTCCCTGGAGCCGGCATCTTCATTGTGGGCACCCGGCTGTGACAGCTTGCAGCTTCACAGCCGGGTGCCCACTGCGCATGTGCGAGAAGCGATGCGCTTTGTGAATGGCCTGTAGTCTTCTGGGACCTGTCACGTAAGACTACGGGGAGGGAGGGGGGAGGACAAATTCCGCTTCCGATCGCCTAGGCGATCACATTGGGAGCAGGTTCCTGTCAAATTCGGGTACCCGCCCCCCAAAGTTTCCAATCCTTAATGGGGAGCGGGGGACAAAGGCTTAAAGCGGATCTTCCCCTTTTGTGTGGAGCTCTGCTTTAAAAACAAAAATCAAGGGAAATCCTCTCACGCACCCAGCCAATGTCTTCCCTTGGTTTTAAGAAATGCCTTCTTTCATCTTACTAAATGTAAGTGCATTTTTCACTATGTTTAATAATAAACACCAACTTGCTACACTTAGAAGCACCCTCTAGTGTCCATTTTACAGATTACTTTCGATCTGCTGAGGAGCTGCTCTGGGGCCAAGCAAGCTATCATTATATGGACTTATGAACGGTGCTTAACTTACTGCTTTTTAGGCAACTGGCAGTGTTTGCGGCACAAACTCATTTTATTTTATTGATCTGTAGTTCCTCTGTATGTTGTACTTCAAAGCCTAATTGGGCCCATTCACACTTATAAGAACATGTGTTTCTGTAACCCTCAGCAATCTGCGGTTCCAGGTTCTTAAACTGCCATCCCAGCACAACAGGCCCCAACAGACTTGCACTACAATGTACCTTAACCCACGTAGTTTTGTTGTACCCCGCATTAGGTAAAAGTGCAAGTCTGGTTTTTGTTCTGTTGCTGTGCATTAGCTATCCCTGCTAACAGGTTTATTAATGATATTGAGGTTGGTATTAGGAGTTCAATCTCAGAGTTTGTGGAGAATACTAACTTTTGTAGGGAAATACATTTGGCACAAAAAATATAATTGTCAAAATGTATCATTGTGAATGAACATAGAAGGGTGGGCAGCTACATGGCAGATGAGGTTCAGTATTAAAAAGTTATGCTATTGGTTACTAAAACTGTGTTTTCATCATACCCTTTGGGAGGGTACTCCTCTAGAGTAATTAAACATGGAAAATGCTTTTGGAGCCCTTGTAGATCCCAGACTAATGGTGGCCATACATGCTTTGATTATTTTCATCCGATCGGTGTGCTATTCAATGTAAGTGAATCCACAAACGATAGCGGCGACTTCTCTTTTGATTTATTATTGCTTCACTCAGATGGGCATATGTGTATTTTCTGCATGGAATTCAGGTTGGTGCTGGTAGACAGTCTAACATAAAAGATATGCCTAAAGTTCTCATGTTTAGACATGTACAATATGTAGATCAGTCTGGATAAAAGCGCACAGATGAGTCCCAAAGGAAATAAGTGAATGGTATATGTCAACTGTGATTGGTGGGGAAAAAACTCACTGCTGCCATGGTAAAAACACATCGGTTTGTGGGAAGTATGAACAGGAGCCAGGCGCTGTGTAGTTTTGTGATAAAAGTAATACACTTTATATGGAGGTGTGCCTTTAATATTTCATATGGTAAAAAATAACCAGCCTGTGGCTTTAAGAAGCCAGGTTCCAAGATGCACGGCCTGTCTGCTCAGAGGGAAGCAGTGGAGTAGAATACCTGTCAGTGCAGGGACCACGTGTACCCGACGTCCCAGCGTCCTGGATGACGTCACCACGATGTGGAGAGACGGAGGGGGGGAACTCTTGCTGGAGCCGCAGCTTTAGAAGGAAGAGGCCAGTTGCCGGGACATGTTTCGCGCACATGCGCTTTATCAAGTCTGTATTACTTTTATCACAAAACTACACAGCGCCTGGCTCCTGTTCATACAATATGTAGACGTATACAATTTTTCTAATAGCTTTGGGGCTCATTTCCCAATATATAGTTTTGTACTCCTCTAAATGAAGCGCTAGAGGAATGAATACACACCGCTGCATCTGCAAAAAAAAATGTGCACCACGTTTAGTGGTGTACAAAATAGGTAGGACACAGATGTCTCTGGGGCCGTACATATCTGCAGATTGTACGCATGTAAACACGTATATTAAAGTCATTGCACATGTCCAAAGACCAGGCACATATTTAACCACTTTAAGTCCGGACACTTTCACCCCCTTCCTGTCCAGGCCAATTTTCAGCTTTCAGCGCTATCACACTTTGAATGACAATTGTGCAGTCATGCAACACTGTACCCGTATGAATTTTTTTGCATTTTTTTGAGACAGATAAAACTTTATTTTGGTGGTATTTATTCATCACTGGGATTTTGATTTTTTTGATATATAAATGAAAAAGTCCAAACATTTTGAAAAAAAAGTGTTTTTCTTTTTGCAAGTAAATAATCTTTCTTCATAAATCTTGGCCAAAATGTATTCAGCTATCTTTTTAGTGAAAAAAAAAAAATAACCCAAATTAGTTTTTATAACCAAAAATTATAATTTTTCTAAACTTTTTTTTTATACATTTTTATTTTTTTTTTTATATTATTATTATTTATGTTTTTTTTTTAACATACTGTCACCCTAGCAGTACAGTGTCACCATAGTGACACTGTACTACTTGTGGGGGGGGTGATGAAGATTTTTTTTTACACTGATTGCTTTTACACCCATAAAGGCTGTAAAGCAATAATTTCTTCTTCTCTCTGGCTGAATTCTTGCAGCCATTGAGAAATACTGTGAGAGCTGTGATTGGTCACAGCTTGTCACATGGTACAAGGCTGTCGTGAATAGCTGTTGTGGATACAAGGCTGTTGTGATCATTCACAGATTTCACCCATAGTAAGCAATGATGTCAGAAGTGACATCTTGCTTACTACTATTCATGTGATCACCGATTGGCCAATCGGTGATCACATGATCGGGACCTCACACAGAGGTCCCGTACAGCGATTGGTGTTCCGCTGTGTCCGGATGACACATCAGGCACCGGATCGCGGTGCCGCGTGCTCCTAGGGAGCACGCACAGGCAGGGAAGTGGGAGTACGTTTATAAATATAGTGGTTAAGGCAGGATCTTCTTCTAGCACTGCCAGCAAGAACCTGTGTTCCATGCAGAAAGTACACATTTGTCTGTGTGAATGAAGCCTTAGACTCAATTTCGATCAAAAATTCCCATTAAACTGAAGCCAAATATTATCATTCGCTTTGTTTTGATTGACAGCACATGAATACAACCATATTTCAATCAATCAGATTATGGCAAGACATAGTGGAAGCAGGGATTGATATCTACAATAATAAATTACAATTGTATCTTAGCTATCAGTCAAAATCCACTTCCTTTGTGTATAGCATATTGAACAAATGGGTTGTCAACTATAGATCGATTATTCCTCTGGAAAAAAAATCATTATCCTTGTCAAAGTTTGTATTAGCAACAGCCAATTTGCATCTAACAAGACTACAATAATACTCCTTAGTATTTTTTTTAAAAGGTCATATATTCAATAGGTAAGTCCATTTAGTATGTTTTTTTTATAATACACTCTTTCTGCATCATGTTGAGCAAGTAGAGCAGTTTGGTCACCAATTCACAGAATGGACGTCCTTGAATTAGAAAGAGTTTGGAGAACGGCAACAAAATTAATAACGGGGTTGGAAGACCTCCATTATGAAGGATTACAAAGGTTGCATTTATTCGCTTTAGAGAAGAGAGAATTCTTTTTTGTAAAAGTGAACCCAGTGGCTGTACTTGATTATTTTTTACAAGCTTCCTCATTTTATTGAATGAGTCACATTTGGAAACTGTAAAATCTTGGATTTTTTTTGCAGTGGATGCCAAGCAATGTGACCACGGCATGTAAGCACCCTCGCTCCACAGTTATTAACCACTTCAAGTCTGGACACTTTTACCCCCTTCCTGTCCAGGCCAATTTTCAGAATTTCAGCTCTATCACACTTTGAATGACAATTACGCGGTCATACAACACTGTACCCATATAAATTATTTAGCATTTTTTTGAGACAGATAAAGTTTTATTTTGGTGGTATTTATTCGCCACTGGGATTTTTATTTTTTTTGCTATATAAATGAAAAAGTCCAAACATTTATAAAAAAAACGTTGCAAATAAATATTTCATTATAAATCTTGGCCAAAATGTATTCAGTTATCTTTTTAGTAAAAACTAAAAAATAACCCAAATTAGTTTATAACCAAAAATTATAATTTAAAAAAAAATTTGTTTACATTTTTATTTTATTATTTTAGATTATTATTGATTTTTTTTTCTACATACTGTCACCCTAGCAGTACAGTGTCACCATGGTGACAATGTACTACTTGTGGGGGGTTATGAAGATTTTTTTTTTTTTTTTACACTGATTGCTTTTACACCCATAAAGGCTGTAAAAGCAATCATTTCTCTTTCTCTCTGTCTGCATTCTTGCAGCCACTGAGAACTACTGTGTGAGCTGTGATTGGTCACAGCTTGTCACATGGTACAAGGCTGTTGTGAATAGCCTTGTACCATGTGACCTCTGTGATCATTCACAGATTTCACACGTAGTAAGCAATGATGTCAGAAGTGACATCTTGCTTACTACTTTGCATGTGATCACTGATTGGACAATCAGTGATCACATGATCGGAAACTCGTACAGAGGTCCCATCCGACGATCGGTGTTTCACTGTGTCCGGAGGACACAGCGGGCACCGGATTGCGGTGCTGTGCGTTCCCAGGGAGCGTACACAAGCAGGGTGCGGGGAGGCCGTTTATAAACATCATTCACAGATTTCACACGAAGTAAGCAATGATGTCAGAAGTGACATCTTGCTTACTACTCTGCATGTGATCACTGATTGGTCCCGTATGACAATCGGTGTTCCACTGTGTCTGGAGGACACAGCGGGCACCGCATCGCGGTGCTGCACGCTTATGAACGGCAACCCGCCCCTGGACTGCCACCGTCTGGCCGTTTATATATATCAGCTGGACGGCAAGTGGTTAATGCCCCCCCCAACTGCACGTCTTCGTCTACTTTCACACTGATCCTAGCAAAAAACACGTATGCGTTTTTATCGCATTTTTTACAGGACATTTTCCATTGAGCTCAATAGGGAGGTGTGTTTTTGGTGCTTTTTTTACCGCACCAAAAATGCAGCAAGCAGGATTTTTAAAAAAAACACACTTGACCTGCAACAGATCAGTTTGAAGGAATAGGAATACATGGTCACACGTTTTATCAGCTTGAAAGCAGCTTTAGCTTAGCCTTCCAGCTTTAAACTTTTTATTTTTATTTATAGGTTGTAATTTATAGGTATACATGTTTGTGTGCCTGTATATAAAATCAATACTCTGCAGTCTTAGTGAATTTTGTAGCTAGGCATAATGATGTTCAGAGTAGTATTTTCCTTATTTATGAATGATCAAAAATATAATGTCAGTTGATGCTAACGTGCCGAAAGAAAGCCTAAAAAGAAAACGAATGCCGTCACCACATTTAAGGATTGGTAAGCTGCAATATAATAAATGTTTGCTCTTGGGTTTAACACTGCTTTAATTTCATGCTAATTAGCAAATACAGTATAATGTCCTCTGTGTAGATTAGCCCTCATATCGCCGTGACTTCAGCAGTGAGATCTTGAATCCTGAGTTTCTGGGTTCACTTATCTGCCCAGGAAGATTAATATCTGTGTATCGGCAGATAAAAGAAGCACTGAGATTAAAGAGGCCGGGCTGGGAACTGTGTTGGGGAAACCTCCATGGAGTTTTGCAGAGTCTAATTTTGATCAGATGTTGTCATTGTCTAAATGGTATTCTGTTTGAGATGTCATATGAATCTACAATGTCTTTCCAGGCTCGACAAGTCCTAGACATGTTCCCGCAAGTACCATATCATCTAGTCTTGCAGGATTTGCAGATCACTCGCTCAGTGGAGATTACAACGGATAATATTTTAGAAGGACGGATCCAAGTGCCTTTTCCCACCCAGGTCAGTGTCTTGGTTAGAGGTGCTGTTCTACATTGTTTGTCCTAGCAGATATTTGAACTAACATTGCCCTAGTGTAATCCTATAAATACTTATCCCAGCTCTTCTAAGAAGTGCTCTTGTATTACAGAGGCCAGATGACCCTAGACCAGCTGCTGACAGCTCTCCAGATGCAAATGAGCAGGAAGATGACAGCAGTTCAGTGCAGGTAGTATGCTTGAGCTGAGCCTGGCTTTATATTGTGGGTACTCTTGTGCTCCCTATGGGGTTTTCTGTATGTAGTAATTTTATACACATGATTTTTGTAGCGACTTGCATGTTTGTTTAATACAGGTGTACCTCAGGTTACGAATGTTAAAAATGTGGCCAAAGAAGATACGGAATTGCGTAAGGTCTTTTGTCTTCATCATCTTAGCTCTGATGAGCTTTAAAAATAAATAAATAATTACCTGTAATTATAGATGACATATAAAGGTCTCTCATAAGAGGCAATTTTCTATTTTAGGCTTTCTGGTCTCTTAGAGCCCATTCACACTGTAATGTGCACAACTATGTGAGTTTGATTCCCCAACCATGGCTTTTGCCAGAAGCAATATACATTGCTTGTGCTGTAAGGTCCCATTTAATAGTTTTGATTGAGACCTCACAGGGTGGTGCCTGGAAATCCAGCATCTAGGATTTGCTCCTAACATGCTACTATGTGGGTGTGGTAGTTTGAGGTCTTATAAAAAAAGAATACATTTTCATTTTTATATATGGACCTTGCCTGCTTCAAAGTATGAATGGACCCTTAACCTGTATGTGAGTGCACAGAGCTCTCTCGTCTGCCATGTCTGTTTCTCCATTTAAAGTGTTGTGTAAGTTTTGTATAGACTGTGAAAAATGTTAGAAACCCTGTCAATTTTTCCATTGGGGCAACCTGTACTATTGACAGCAATTTAAAAGGGGGCTTACCCTTGGTTGATGAAATCTTCTCTTACTTGCTGCTCTGTCTCAGGGAAAAGAAATCTTCCATACGATATACAAGAGATATAAAAAAAAAAACCTGACCTTAACTTTTCTATCATATGAAAATTAAGAAAAAGCTTTACCTACCCTTTAACCACTTCCTGTCAGCCCACAGCCTTTAAACGATGGACGTCAGCCCGCATCAGAGGTTCCGGCGTGTACTCGGGAGCCCTGTGATCTGTGTGTCGCCCGGACACAGTGGATCATATTACTGCTGTGTCTGGGTGATCACATGGTTTTGTCCCATGTGATTGCTGTGTACATAACAGTGTCCTGAACTGCCATACCTCATAACAGCGTCCTGATCACCGCCATACCACATACCAGCGTCCTGGTCACCGCCATACCCCATACCAGCGTCCTGGTCACCGCCATACCTCATAACAGCGTCCTGATCACCGCCATACCCCATACCAGCGTCCTGGTCACCGCCATACCCCATACCAGCGCCCTGATCACCGCCATACCCCATACCAGTGCCCTGATCACCGCCATACCCCATACCAGTGCCCTGATCACCGCCATACCCCATACCAGAAAATCCTGGTCACCGCCATACCCCATACCAGCGTCCTGGTCACCGCCATACCTCATAACAGCGTCCTGATCACCGCCATACCCCATACCAGCGTCCTGGTCACCGCCATACCCCATACCAGCGCCCTGATCACCGCCATACCCCATACCAGTGCCCTGATCAGTTTTACCCATACCAGTGCCCTGATCACCGCCATACCCCATACCAGTGCCCTGATCACCGCCATACCCCATACCAGCGTCCTGGTCACCGCCATACCCCATACCAGCGTCCTGGTCACTGCCATACCCCATACCAGCGTCCTGGTCACTGCCATACCCCATACCAGCGTCCTGGTCACCGCCATACCCCATACCAGCGTCCTGGTCACCGCCATGCCCCATACCAGCGTCCTGGTCACCGCCATGCCCCATACCAGCGTCCTGGTCACCGCCATACCCCATACCAGCGTCCTGGTCACCGCCATACCCCATACCAGCGTCCTGGTCACTGCCATACCCCATACCAGCGTCCTGGTCACTGCCATAACCCATACCAGCGTCCTGGTCACTGCCATATACCCCATACCAGCGTCCTAATTACCACCATACTCCATACCAGCGCTCTGATCACCGCCATACCCCATACCAGTGCTCTGATCACCGCCATACCCCATACCAGTGCCTGATCACCGCCATACATGCACCCCATACCAGTGTCCTGATCACCGCCATACCTCATAACAGCGTCCTGATCACCGCCATACCACATACCAGCGTCCTGGTCACCGCCATACCCCATACCAGCGTCCTGGTCACCGCCATACCCCATAACAGCGTCCTGATCACCGCCATACCCCATACCAGCGTCCTGGTCACCGCCATAACCCCATACCAGTGCCCTGATCACCGCCATACCCCATACCAGCGTCCTGGTCACCGCCATACCCCATACCAGCGTCCTGGTCACTGCCATACCCCATACCAGCGTCCTGGTCACTGCCATACCCCATACCAGCGTCCTGGTCACCGCCATACCCCATACCAGCGTCCTGGTCCCGCCCCCATGCCCCATACCAGCGTCCTGGTCACCGCCATGCCCCATACCAGCGTCCTGGTCACCGCCATACCCCATACCAGCGTCCTGGTCACCGCCATACCCCATACCAGCGTCCTGGTCACTGCCATACCCCATACCAGCGTCCTGGTCACTGCCATAACCCATACCAGCGTCCTGGTCACTGCCATACCCCATACCAGCGTCCTAATTACCACCATACTCCATACCAGCGCTCTGATCACCGCCATACCCCATACCAGTGCTCTGATCACCGCCATACCCCATACCAGTGCTCTGATCACCGCCATACCCCATACCAGTGTCCTGATCACCGCCATACCTCATAACAGCGTCCTGATCACCGCCATACCACATACCAGCGTCCTGGTCACCGCCATACCCCATACCAGCGCTCTGATCACCGCCATTACCCCCCATACCAGTGCTCTGATCACCGCCATACCCCATACCAGTGCTCTGATCACCGCCATACCCCATACCAGTGCTCTGATCACCGCCATACCCCATACCAGTGTCCTGATCACCGCCATACCTCATAACAGCGTCCTGATCACCGCCATACCACATACCAGCGTCCTGGTCACCGCCATACCCCATACCAGCGCTCTGATCACCGCCATACCCCATACCAGTGCTCTGATCACCGCCATACCCCATACCAGTGCTCTGATCACGCCATACCCCATACCAGTGTCCTGATCACCGCCATACCCCATAACAGCGTCCTGATCACCGCCATACCACATACCAGCGTCCTGGTCACCGCCATACCCCATACCAGCGCTCTGATCACCGCCATACCCCATACCAGTGCTCTGATCACCGCCATACCCCATACCAGTGTCCTGATCACTGCCATACCTCATAACAGCGTCCTGATCACCGCCATACCCCATACCAGCGTCCTGGTCACCGCCATACCCCATACCAGCGTCCTGGTCACCGCCATACCCCATACCAGCGTCCTGGTCACCGCCATACCCCATACCAGCGTCCTGGTCACCGCCATGCCCCATACCAGCGTCCTGGTCACCGCCCATACCCCCATACCAGCGTCCTGGTCACCGCCATATACCCCATACCAGCGTCCTGGTCACCGCCATACCCCATACCAGCGTCCTGGTCACCGCCATACCCCATACCAGCGTCCTGGTCACCGCCATACCCCATACCAGCGTCCTGGTCACTGCCATACCCATACCAGCGTCCTGGTCACTGCCATACCCCATACCAGCGTCCTAATTACCACCATACTCCATACCAGCGCCCTGATCACCGCCATACCCCATACCAGTGCCCTGATCACCGCCATATACCCCATACCAGCGTCCTGGTCACCGCCATACCTCATACTAGCGTCCTGGTCACCGCCATACCCATACCAGCGTCCTGGTCACCGCCATGCCCCATACCAGCGTCCTGGTCACCGCCATACCCCATACCAGCGTCCTGGTCACCGCCATACCCCATACCAGCGTCCTGGTCACCGCCATACCCCATACCAGCGTCCTGGTCACCGCCATACCCCATACCAGCGTCCTGGTCACCGCCATACCCCATACCAGCGTCCTGGTCACCGGCATACCCCATACCAGCGTCCTGGTCACTGCCATACCCATACCAGCGTCCTGGTCACTGCCATACCCCATACCAGCGTCCTGGTCACTGCCATACCCCATACCAGCGTCCTTGTCACCGCCATACCCCCATACCAGCGTCCTGGTCACCGCCATACCCCATACCAGCGTCCTGGTCACCGCCATACCCCATACCAGCGTCCTGGTCACCGCCATGCCCCATACCAGCGTCCTGGTCACCGCCATACCCCATACCAGCGTCCTGGTCACCGCCATACCCCATACCAGCGTCCTGGTCACTGCCATACCCCATACCAGCGTCCTGGTCACCGCCATACCCCATACCAGTGTCCTGGTCACTGCCATACCCCATACAGCGTCCTGGTCACTGCCATACCCCATACCAGCGTCCTGGTCACTGCCATACCCATACCAGCGTCCTAATTACCACCATACTCCATACCAGCGCCCTGATCACCGCCATACCCCATACCAGTGCCCTGATCACCGCCATACCCCATACCAGCGTCCTGGTCACCGCCATACCCCATACCAGCGTCCTGGTCACCGCCATACCCATACCAGCTTCCTGGTCACCGCCATGCCCCATACCAGCGTCCTGGTCACCGCCATACCCCATACCAGCGTCCTGGTCACCGCCATACCCCATACCAGCGTCCTGGTCACCGCCATACCCCATACCAGCGTCCTGGTCACCGCATACCCCATACAGCGTCCTGGTCACCGCCATACCCCATACCAGCGTCCTGGTCACTGCCATACCCCATACCAGCGTCCTAATTACCACCATTACTCCATACCAGCGCCCTGATCACCGCCATACCCCATACCAGCGTCCTGGTCACTGCCATACCCCATACCAGCGTCCTGGTCACTGCCATACCCCATACCAGCGTCCTGGTCACTGCCATACCCCATACCAGCGTCCTGGTCACTGCCATACCCCATACCAGCGTCCTGGTCACTGCCATACCCCATACCAGCGTCCTGGTCACTGCCATACCCCATACCAGCATCCTAATTACCACCATACTCCATACCAGCGCCCTGATCACCGCCATAACCCATACCAGCGCCCTGATCACCGCCATACTCCATACCAGCGCCCTGATCACCGCCATACTCCATACTAGCGCCCTGATCACCGCCATACTCCATACCAGCGCCCTGATCACCGCCATACTCCATACCAGCGCCCTGATCACCGCCATACTCCATACCAGCGCCCTGATCACCGCCATACTCCATACCAGCGCCCTGATCACTGCCATACCCCATACCAGTGCCCTGAACACGGTCATACCCCATAACAACATCCTGATCACTGCCATACACCATACCAGCACCCTGATCACCGCCATACACCATACCAGCATCCTGATCAATATTCAGGTTTATATACCATAATTTGTAGACTATAACTTTCACACAGACTAAAAATTATACACTGTTTTGGGTTATTTTTTACCAAAAAATGTAGCAGAATACATTTTGGCCTAAATTTATGAAGAAAGCGCAAATTGTTGACACTGTATAAATCTTGTATTATAATAATATTTGGAAAATCTTATTAAAAAATGGAAAAAAATTTTTTTTTTTTTTTAATTTTTGGTACTTTTTTTGTTTATAAAACAAAACATAAAAAAAAACCCAGTGGTATTTAAACACCACCAACTGAAAGTTCTATCTGTCGCAAAAAAAAAAAAGATTTCACCTGGTTACAGTCTTGCTTGCCTGAGTAATTGCCATTCATGGTGTGAGAGTGCTGAAAGCTGAAAATTGGCCTGGGCAGGAAGGGGGTGAAAAAGTCGGACTTCAGGTGTTTAATGCGGATCTAAAATGCAAGGTACCCAGCTGCTGTATATATAAATTAATAAAAATTCTGTAAGTAAGGTAAGATTTTTTTATGATTTTATCCCCAAGTGTTTTGTTTTATTTAATGCAGTGTTTTGACAGCAGGGTTTAGGGGGAAGCCTCATAAATGGACCGTGAATGTTCGTGTATTTCTTGTTCTGCTTTTAAAAATAAGATTCATTTTTACATGTCTTTTCTCAGACTGAGCGAGTTCCTTTGAACCTTTCACCAACTGTGGAAGAGTTTGAAGATTTCAGTGAGGTGGACAGTCAGCCCATAGAGGCAGAAGATTTTGAGGCCAGAGGCAGCAGATTTTCCAAGTCTGCAGAGGAGAGGCAACGAATGCTGGTACAAAGAAAGGAAGATATGATGCAACTGGCAAGAAGGTAAAATAAAAAAAGGAAAAAAAAAATACGGGAGTGATGTAAGGCTACGTTCACATCCTAGCATATTGACTTGTGTTGTTTTGCATCTCACATGTTGACATGACAGCCCATTGACTTAAATAGGCTGCCTGTCGCATGAAAAACACACCAAAGAAGCTCAGGCACCTCATTTTGGCACTGAACCAAGCTCGTTTGGCAACATGCGGCTTTACACAAAGTCTGCCAAGATTCCAAGATGTGGAAGAGGAGATATTAAATCGTATCTAAACCCAGGCATTTTATATATTGCATCAGAACTAGCCCTTCAATGTGGTGGCTTCATTATTATTTATTTTAGTTTTTTCTTTTTCTGTTTTTACCTGGTTATCCTGCAGAAAAACCTTTGTGGCTACGCTTTTTTTTTTTTCTGGATTTATGGAGGGAGCCAAGGGTATCAAAGGCTGGACCTCAAACATCTCTGCCTTTGTTCATCACTATTACATGGTGGATTGATAGTACTAGTTGGGCTGTTTGTGCTTTTTTTTTCATCTTACAGGAAGTGACAAGAACACTTCATTTCTGGCAAGATCATCAGGTATTTTATGTACTTGCTGCAAATGTTCCTAGGCTGAAAAGTAAAAACTAACACAGCAGGCACATTTGTGGACTGGTAAGCTGCAATATATTACATTTTTTCTATTTGGGTTTAAATACACTTCAAATGACTGGGCAGAAGGTAGGTTGTCGGCACAAAGGAATTGTTCAGCAGATGACTTATGATCTGTTTACCAAAATCTGCTTCAAGTATTTTGTCTAATGAAATTTGATTTGATGTTTGTTGTACTATTTTAAAGTAGAACTAAAGGCAAAACTTTTATTTTTTCATTTTGGATAGAATAAGGGCACATTATAACCCCTGTATGGTTTCTTTTTGCCATCTGTGTCCCATTGGGCAGATTTTCTTTCACTTCCTGTCCCATAGCCAATAAAGGAAGTGAGCAAAAATCCCTCTAAGGTGAGGGAATCCATGGATGTCCCCATTGGAAAATATCCTCACTATTATTGTTCTGGGGACAACCCAATTGGGATTTCTTTTCCTTATTTTTTTTTTTTTCTTCCCACTTTCGTTGATAATGGTAAAGAAGTCAAATAGAGAGGGTGACTCTCCTTTAACGGGAGCACAAACAGAGGTAAAAGTGACAGGTGCTGTAATCCCCCCACACACTATACAAAATGTAAATAAAACGTTTTGCCTTTAGTTGTGATTTGCTGGTTTTTTCATTGGGCAATCTCTCCCTTGAGGAAGGACAGAACAGTGCCATCTAGTGGAAGAGTCATATATTTGGAAGTGTCTGCAGTGCAGCTCATTAAAGCAGAACTAAACTCTCTAAGTCTAGGTTCACTATGCAGGTTACGTTTCATCCATTTCTGCAGTGATTTTTGCGGTTTTGCACTTGCGTTTTTGCAGCGTTTTGCGGTTTGTTTGTTTTTTACATTTTTTTAAATTTTTCTTGTCGCTAGGCAGATTTTAAACGCAAAACGCAGCAAAAACGCAATACATGCTTTTCTGCAGCGTTCCCATTAAAGTCTATAGAACCAAAAACGCAATGTTTCACGTGCAAAAAAGTCTCTGACCCTTTCCAAAAAACGCTCCGGGTGAATACACACCGGAGTGAACATGTCCCATAGGAAATCATGTTAAATGAACTGTGCTGCATTTCTGCAAAACACTGCAGAAAACGCTTAGGTGTGAACTTGGGGTTATCCATTGCAGCCAAGAATCCTACCAATTTAACCTTAAGCCTGGTACCCATGGTACCTTTTTTTTTTTTTTTTTTTTCGTTCAACCCATCAGGTCGAACGAAAAAAAAAAAAAAAACCTGAGGAACTCACTGTACTAACTATGCAATGTTAGTCCAGCTATCTCCCTGCTGTGCAACTGTGTTCTGATGGGGGGGACTGTACCTTCCCCCCCTCCCCTGCCAGAACACAGCTATTGGATGCCAATCGGCTGCTTTTTTTCATTTTTGTCTTTTTCAGAATGCCTGTTCGACAGAAGCTGAACAAAAGCTGCTGTTCACACAGGCCGAATGTCAGCTGGTTCAGTAGAAACCATGTGTACCAGGCTTTAGTTTGATCTGCAGATTCCGTGGTGTTGTACATGTGATCAGTTATGACACCAGCCATTTGATGTCTTGACAGTTCGGTTGAGAACACAAGCAATGATGACTGTTATTTACGTCATGACTTTCAATCCATCTATGGCAAGTTTAAGGGCAGGGTGTCAAGCAACATAACTCATGGTTGCTGGATTTAAGCAAAATGATTCATGTTGTTGTTTGTGGCCAGATCACTGCAAACGGCTTATATTTAACTGGAAGTTATAAAAAGGAAGCACAGCAGCATAGCACAGCAGTCTAATAATACAGTTGTTGTAGGGTGGGTGACAAAGACCTAAAAGTACCCAATGCAGACCCTCTATCATTGCACTCCCAAGGGTGATGACCCCAGATGTACCAAAGCGACCGTGTGTCATCGGCATGTCTCCGGGCTCTGCTCCATCCTCAAGTGGTAGCTGCGGAAGTGGTCTTCAGGTCTTTTAAATCCACTTGATACCAGCCTTTTAGTGACTGGATCATTTGCAGCAGGGTGCTTATTCTTTACAGTAAATAGTTTGTATTGTATTGGCCTTTTCTTGCTATGTACCATGCTATGGTTTAAGGGCTAGTTCACCCTAGATGTGGTGACTAGCATTTTTTTAGACTGGATAAATGCCTGTCCCTGGTGGGCATATAGAAAACAATGGTTTTTCTGTGTGCCTTGTTCACACCATGATACCAGTATGATGTGCAATGCAGAAAAATGCAGGCGTGTTGCATTATCGTGCAGCAAACTGTAGGCCTAGTGTGTCACCATGCTGCTGTGTGAAGATATGAATGAAATGTCATTTTGTGCACTTCAAATAAGAGAAGAAGAAGCAAACAGCGCGCTGTGCTACAAATGTGCATCACACAGCCCTCCCACCACCCAGGAACACTGCATGGAAAAACTGACAGCTGCCTGCACACTAAAACCAAGCATAGTGGGCGGCTCTGTAGTGAGGTTAGTGCTAGGCCCTGTGTTATGAATTTTCTGTAAAATTTCCAGTTTTATTTATCCATTTCTTTGAGCTCTTGTAAAGGGAATTCTGTGTTTCTGAAAGATTGTTCGAGCACACAAAGATCTTTTGCAGTAATGTGTGTAAAAATGAGCACTTTACTGTTTTATTTATTTCAGGTAATTCTATAGCGCCGTCAATTTACGCAGCGCTTTACACACACACACATATATATATATATATATATATATATATATATTGTACATTCACATCAGTCCCTAACCCTCAAGGGGTGTACAATCTAAGGTCCCTAACTCACATTCATACATACACATACTAGGGCCAATTTAGACAGGATCCAATTAACCTACCAGCATGTCTTTGGAGTGTGGGAGGAAACCAGAGTACCCAGAGGAAACCCACGCAGGCACAGGGAGAACATGCAAACTCCAAGCAGGTGGTACCGTGGCTGAGATTCGAACCAACGACCCTAGTACTGCCAGGCACAGGGAGAACATGCAAACTCCAGGCAGGTGGTACCATCGCTGAGATTCGAACCAACGACCCTAGTACTGCCAGGCGGAAATGCTAACTATTTAGCCACTATGCTGCCCATGTTTTAACATGTTTTTTGGTTCCATTTGACATTTTCATGTTGCATTTTGACTCTGTTATGCACATAGAGGATGATTTACTAAAGGCAAATAGACTGTGCACTTTGCAAGTGCAGTTTCACCTATCTTCCCAAGAGCTTACTGAATGTGGTGAAGCTCTGCTGATTTCCATCATTTAATCATGTGCAAGCAAAAATTTTTTTTTTTATTTTTCTTTGCCCTTAATTGGGTATTCTTTACAAAGTGAAGCTTCAGCACATTCACTAAGCTTTGAGGAAAGTGGGTGCAGCTGCACTTGCAAAGTGCACAGTCCATTTGTCTTTAGTAAATCGTCTCCCCAGCTTTCCATTGTTTGATATGGGTTCCATTATAGGGGGCAGGTGGGTAGCGTTTTCTGCACTCAATACTGACTTTCTCCTCCTATGTCATTGTTATATACTGATGAAGCAGGAGACAACGGAGAGCTCATCAAATGCATATGATGGAAGTCATCCTGAAAGGCTATTGTAGCAGAAGGGAAATTGGATTTGAGCTACAAGGGATTATCTGATGCTTCTGCTTCTTTCCCTACAGGAGATATCTGAATCGAACTTCAGAAGATGAAGACATCCCTATGTCAGAACACAAACTCTCTTCGTTGAGGGTATTTCTTCAGACTCTGTAAACATCCGCCGGCGTACACTGGCAGCTGCTGCCGAGCGCAGAATTCAGTTGCAGCGCCCCCCTCAATAACGACTAGATTGCACATGCCGTCTGACCTTGTATTTGTGCACGAGGTGCACGCACAGACTCATACTGACCCAGCACCTTGCTTATGAGCTGTTCCAGCTCAACAGACGCAGGTCTGCTTTTGTAATTTCTTTTTCTGGAAGCCCTTTGTGTTTAGAATGATCAGGACTGCTTTTGGGCTCTGGTGCACTAATGTGCATTTGGTGCTGACTCTTTCACTGGAAAACTAATGACCATTTCACAGCCTCAGAGGATTGGGGTCAACCCGTCCATATTTAGATGGAGGATGATGCCTCTGGTGACTATATATCCTGATAACACACATAGAAAGACCCAGATTCTTGTATTTTTACATATTTACTGAACAGAGACTAATATTTTACCAGTGTTTCTAACCAAGGACTATGTTCTCTTCATGGGTGTCCCATATCAATGCCATTTGTTTACTGCAAAATGTTTAGCCCTAAGGTGTCACATGCCACAATCCTAGAAAACAAAGCTTTACCTGTCCGTTCCATCCTCGCCAGGGTAGATGGCGTTCCAGACTTGTTCTGCGTGCATTTGTTCTGTTTACCAGTGTTTTAGTATTTTTGTATTTTATGAAAACATTTAAAGGACCAATAAACCTAAATATGTTATTTTATCTGAATTGCTGAAAATAGTCACTAAGGTAAAGTTTCTGTACCTGTTCAGAACTTCCCGCTGCTTTAAAGAGAAATTTGTTGGATACTCGGTGAGTGCTCATTTGTGAATCGTAGAGTTCAATTTTTGGTAACATTTACATATCCTTTGTGTTCCTGTGCAATTTCTGTGTGTTCACCTGCAGTGTGATTTTTTTTTTTTTTTTTTGTTTTTCATTCATTTGAATGAGCTGCAAATCACACTAGAACGCCACAGAGTAATGCATGCACCACAATTGAAAAACATGCCGCACCAAATCGTTCGGTACTGCTGTACCATGCAATCTGGTGCTCACAAACGCACTGTGATTGTGATGCCGTCAACAATGTATTGGCACCCACAGCAGATTGCAGAGGCAGTGTGTTTGAAATACACGCATGGAATGCGCCTTTCCCGTACAATGTTCTGGTGTGAACGGCCCTGTGTGGATATGCCACCTAGACAGCATATGTTGTTGAATGTATGTTGAATGAGCGCAGTCAGAGTAATAAGGAGCAATTATTAGTCATTGTACTCCACCACTAAGTACGAAGCACAGCCTTTATATGTGATGGCAAAAAGGATTGCCCTATTGTTCAAAATCCATTAAAGTGGTATGGAACCCCAAAACCAAAAATGTAATATATTGCAGCTCACTCATCCTGAGATGTGGTGGCTGCATTAGTTTTCTTTGTGTGTTTCACCTGGTGATCTGCCCAGTAACACACCTCCTGCATTAGTGAGACATAACTCTGAATGAATGTGCATGAGCAGGAGGCACAGCAGCATGGTCAGTCTGGGAGGAGGGGAGTGGTAATGTACTAGCAGATTGAAATACACTAACAAATTGAATCCAAACTCCAGCTCATACTTTATAATCAGTTGCAGCAAACAGCGTTTTTTTTTTTTTTTTCCTTTTGGGATAAAAGTTTTACGGAAATAAAAGCTGATCACCTCTGTCAGTGTTTAGTGATTTATTTTATCTCATCCATGTAAACTGATGCATTCCACTGGAGAGGCTTGCTGGCTGGATCACAGGATGCAAATAGAAAAAAGAAAGCCTAAAAAGGAAACTAATGCAGCCATCCCATCTATGAACTTGGTAAGCTGCAATATAATCAATGTGTGGTTTGTGGTTTAATATCACTTTAACAATTACATTTTTTTTACATGATTGGTATTTATTCATTTCAAAGCTTTAAACCCCAGGCAGATACAAATGAATGCAGGTCTATGTTAAAGCGGAGTTCCACTCACCTGTCAAAAAAAACGTCAGCAGCTACAAAAACTTTCCTGCTGACCTTTAAAAAAAACAGCCACTTACTGTCCCGCGGTGTCCCCCCCGCAGCCCGTTTCACTGGTCGTCCTGTATTCCAGGAGACCGGCATCTCCAGTGTGGGCACCCGGCTGTGATAGCTTACTGTCCCTCGGTGTGTCCCTCTCAGCCTGTTTCACCGGTCGTCCTGTATTCCAGGAGGCCGGCATCTCCAGTGTGGGCACCCGACTGTGATAGCTTGCGGCTTTACAGCCAGATACCCACTGCGCATGCGTAAGTAGCGCTGCGCTTCATGAACGGTCCTGTAGTCTTCTGGGACCTGTCACGTGTCCCAAAAGACTACAGGGAGGACACCTTCCGCTTCCAATCACCTAGGCAATCGGACTGGAAATGGGAGCGGGTACTTTTCAATTCGGGTACCCGCATCCCCCCTGCCCCCCAAAGGTGCCAATCCTTAATGGGGAGCAGTCCTTTAAGCCCTTCCCCTTTTGGGTGGAGCTCCACTTTAATACACCATTTTTTTTCTATGCAAGCAGACTGTGTCCAGTTTTCACTTGGCGTTAGTCTGTTGTAATCTCTGTACAGTAGAGCTCAGACTAGGGAAGTGGGAGAGGAAGCACAAGGAGCCAATTAGTTGTGCTGAAGTGCTAACAATGGATTATATCCGATATTCTACTTCTAGGAGGAGAGAGCAGAGAGATGAGCTTCTTTGCGGTTTGTCCTTTCTCATCTGAATTATAGGCTGGGGAGGGACAATACCTGTCAGCGTTAGTTAGCTTTTCCAGATCTTTCGTTCTGCCAGACAGGACTGTGCTGTGCAGAGCTGTATAAACCTCAGGACTGCATAGACAGAAAACACAAACCAATGGGAAAAAAAACAGCTCTGTGTCTTTTTCCTTTAGTCTGGAGTCCAGCTTTAAGATGATTACTATAGCATTTAAAAACATCAATTAAATATTATAATTTCCTTTTATACCCCTAGTATCGTATGTTGACATAACAGAGACAGGAACTTGGCAATGTACAGCAATAAAATATCTCTCCTAGTCAGAATTCTAAAATATATTCAGTTCTGAGAAGCACCTGAAACTTAAACGTTCTGTGAAAACTTTAATCTGCAATTTTTCTTTTTTTTCTGGTGAACAGAATTGCTAGATTTACTGGTCCTTTAATGCAGTAGCTTTCATACTTCAAAGTGTCTGAAATGAGAAATGTCTGTGTTGCTCCGCAGCAACCTGATCCAAGTTCTCCATATCATTTCCCAGTAGAGGTTTGGATCTGGTTTTTGTGGGCCAGCAAGGACAGTACTTCTATTCAGACTGATAAATGGGGTGTACTGTGTACAGATGTCTAGTGTTGAGGAACGTGGCTCGTAGCAGAGTGAGATCTAGCTTTGTGTTGATTTTTCAGGACGTTAGTGATGAGGAGGGAATGTTCATGTCTTGCAGCTTTATACTAAAAATTGGGGTTCTGCTGTCATGGTGGATCCCTGCATGGCTTTCTGCATATTCTGCAAGCAATACTTTAACGTGGACTGCGATGTCCACAGAAATTCCTTCACTGAATTCTCCACCTCCTGCATGATTGCTTGCTGAGTGCAATACATTTGCCTGTTCCTGACTTAAGAAACATGTTTTTGTGTTGATTGGTAGACATTGTGCATAGTTTATTTGGACAGAATCACTGTTACAGGTGAAACTGGATCAGCATTTTCTCAGTTGATCTTCACATTATCTCACTGTACCTTCCGTTGTGACTGTGCAAATACTCTGCCTGTATTTGCACACATTTATATTGTATGACATGTTTGAGGGGGCTATGAGTGGGCTCCAGTAAACTTTTTTTTCTTTTTCTTTTCTTTCTTTTTTTTTTTTTTTTTTTTTTTTTTATGCGCCATCAACACAGGATAATTTATGCCTTGTGATCTGGCTATTGCAAATGCTGGTTTTTATTCTAAAAAATAAACTTTTGATCAGTGTTAAACATCTTGGATAGTGATTGTTTTATCAATATGTTCACTTTCTGAAATTCTTCTCTCAAAGAACACCAAAACTTCTAATAAATATACCCTATATCAGGGGTGTCCAATCTGTAGCCCAAGAATGCGATGAGTGCGACCCAACACAAAATCTTAAACTTAATTAAAAATGTTGATTTTCTTTTTTTTAATTTTGTAACAATGCATTTACACTTCGTGAACTCGTGCAGACGAAGAAACGTGACAGGGTCTCTTTACTGGACTTTTATAACCTTTATCTCCCACTCTTCACAATCACACCTTATTCATGTCTCAGTTTTCGGCAGCACCTATATTTGTGAGCAACTATTTTGAGGATGAAGCACACGAAGGGCAAAATTAGAACCAAAATATCTGATGAGCTCCTTGAGAATTCATTAAGAATTTCTGCCTCATCCATCAAACCAGATATTGCAGTTTTATGTTGTCCTCTTTTACTTTTATAATAAAAAAAAAATGAGCTGCAAATATTAAAGAGGATATCCTCTCTTCACATAAACCTTTTTATAGGTATATGTGACGTCATAGTGCATATGTACTGACAAGTAGAGAGTGGAAACAATTGGTATACAGAGCACAATATTTAATTTATGACATTACTTAGATAGGTACATTATCTATATCGGTGATCATTAACTTGTGATCTGCCCGAATCTTTCTGCTCATCAGTTATTCATATTGTTAGTGTATTTTATCTGTGGCCTAAGACTATTCCTCTTCTTCTTCCAGTGTGGCTTAAGGAAGTTGAAAGTTTGGACACCCCTGCCATATATTGTGCTGAATACAGACCTTAGATCAGCAGGAGGACCTAACCCAAGGGTTGTGGCTTACAACAGGAAACCACCTGTCACAGCAGGAACTCATGTTTCTCTTAGATAGTAGAGGCACACCAGAACCTCATTGTTGTGCAACAGTACAAATTAGGAGACCCAACCAGGGAAGGGGCATGTGATGTATGAGGAACCACCTGTGTTGTCTACAACAACCGAGAGAAGAGCTGAAGGAGTCTGAGAATAGATTGGAGAAAGGGGAGTCCTTGGAGAGGGTGAT